TTCGAATGTTATAAATCAAATTAGTAGGTCGTCAACTATTTGTATACTCATTTATTATTGTACATTTATTTTGTATATATTTTATTTGAATTCATTAAATTTGTAGGACTAATTTTATATTTTCTAAATAGGAATCGGTGCGCCTGCTGGCCAACATTGCGGACACGAGCAAAGATGGTCTCATCTCGTTCTCGGAGTTCCAGGCTTTCGAGGGTCTGCTCTGCACCCCAGATGCCCTCTATAGAACGGCTTTCCAGCTGTTCGATCGCAAGGGCAACGGCACTGTTTCCTACGGTGAGAAAGAAAACCCTATAATATAACCCCTAAAAATATTTAACTAAATCTAAACATATTTCCAGCTGACTTCGCTGATGTCGTACAAAAAACTGAACTGCACTCAAAGATACCTTTTAGCTTAGACGGCCCCTTTATCAAGCGCTACTTTGGTGATGTAAGTGCAAGGCAATCTAATAATATATATTTTAATGTAATTCTATAATCTAAATAATATTTTTCCCGACCTGTGTGTAGAAGAAGCAACGCCTTATCAACTATGCTGAGTTTACGCAACTGCTGCACGACTTCCACGAGGAGCACGCGATGGAGGCCTTTCGCAGCAAGGATCCAGCTGGCACTGGATTCATCTCGCCCTTGGACTTCCAGGACATCATTGTCAATGTCAAGCGGCATTTACTGACCCCCGGCGTCAAGGACAACCTGGTCTCGGTAGATATCTGGAGGATCCCTCGATCTGAATAGCCCTCTAAAGATATACCGTATTATATTCAGGTCACTGAGGGTCACAAAGTGAGCTTCCCGTATTTCATCGCATTTACCTCGCTGCTGAACAACATGGAACTGATCAAACAAGTCTACCTGTACGCCACCGAGGGCAGTCGCACGGATATGATCACCAAGGATCAGATCCTCTACGCCGCCCAGACGATGAGCCAAATCACGCCGCTGGAAATCGATATCCTTTTCCATCTGGCCGGTGCCGTCCATCAAGCAGGGTGAGTTTTTGTGTTCAGAGAACTGCTAGGGTTCAGTGTTGCCAACTTTGGTTTTAGATTAGCGAAACTGGAGTTTTTATTTACCTTATATAGCCTTTGAAAATTGTATATTATTTTGCTAACTGAATTGTTTACGCTTAAACTGTTTCCATAATTCAGGATTTTAATTAAATCCTTTTAAGTAATTTAAAATGCCTAATATTTTTATTAGTTTAGTAATACATTTTTTAGACAGTTCTATGATAAATAGTTATTTTTGTTGACTTTTATGACGCTTATATTTCGTATTTCGTAGAGTAACAGTTCATATAAAAATCCCATTTCACACACCTTACATTTCACAGCTCTAATGAGAGCGATTTGTAAATTAGTATGTATTAAAATAATATGCACATAAGCCCCGATTAACCTGCTATAATTGTTAGTTAAAGTCTATTTAATGTGTGTCCTAAAAATCACAGTTGTAAATGAGATATTGACTTAACTAGCAAGTAATATTCTCAAAAGTTATAAAGTATATTCAAGCTAAAGTGAGAAAATAGGATGTATAAAGGGGTTTATTTTAAGTGCTATTCTAAAGACTTGTAAATTAATTGGCAATACTACTTTTTCTGTCCGATCACCTTAAACCGATATAAATATTTTGAAAAGTGCATGATTTTCCCCGTGGAAATTCCCAAAAACTGATTGTCCAGTGTTTTGTGCTAATTGCTGTTTGTTTGTTTGTATCTTTTTCTCTCCCTGTGTTTTCTCTTCATTTCTCTGCGTTGCACTCGCAATTCTCATATTCTCAAAAGCTGGTGGAAGCGCAGGAGAAAGATAACTCCGAGTAGGCAAGTGATCTCGTTCTCCTCGGCTTGATTTCTGATTTCTGCTTATTAATTCGTTTATGATTCCAATATACCAATAGTTCCCTGAAACCCCGAAAAACCTAACCCAGTTGGTGTCTCTTAGTTCCCCAATCTTATGTAGAATGAATATGAAGTGAAAACTAATTTTTTAATATTTATGCAAATCTTCAGCCGCATCGACTATAGTGACCTGAGCAGCATTGCCCCCGAGCATTATACCAAACATATGACACATCGTCTGGCGGATATCAAGGCTGTGGAAAGTCCCGCCGACCGATCTGCCTTTATAATGTTGCTGGAGAGCTCCTATCGTTTCACCCTGGGTTCCTTTGCAGGCGGTAAGTTGGGATCATGAACTTTTCTGATTATAATTATTATATTTATAAATATTTATACCTAATTCAATCGTAGCTGTGGGCGCCACTGTGGTCTACCCCATCGATCTAGTCAAAACTCGAATGCAGAACCAGCGCGCGGGCTCCTATATCGGTGAAGTGGCCTACCGCAACTCCTGGGATTGCTTCAAAAAGGTTAAACCACCTCTATTTGATGAAATACATCCATTTCTAACGATTTACGCCCATCGCAGGTTGTTCGCCACGAGGGTTTCCTGGGTCTGTACAGAGGTCTGCTGCCCCAGCTGATGGGCGTGGCTCCCGAAAAGGCCATCAAGCTGACGGTCAACGATTTGGTGAGGGACAAGCTCACCGACAAGAAGGGCAACATTCAAACCTGGGCCGAGGTTCTGGCCGGCGGTTGTGCCGGTGCCTCGCAGGTGGTGTTCACCAACCCGCTGGAGATTGTCAAGATCCGCTTGCAGGTGGCTGGTGAGATAGCCAGTGGCGAGAAGATCCGAGCCTGGTCGGTGGTCAGGGAACTTGGACTGTTTGGCCTGTACAAGGGGGCCAGGGCCTGTCTGCTGCGCGATGTGCCCTTCTCGGCCATCTACTTCCCCACGTACGCCCACACCAAGGCCATGATGGCCGACAAGGACGGCTACAACCACCCACTCACCTTGTTGGCCGCCGGTGCCATCGCCGGTGTCCCAGCCGCCTCCCTCGTCACGCCCGCCGACGTCATCAAGACCCGCCTCCAGGTGGTCGCCCGATCGGGACAGACCACTTACAACGGGGTCTGGGATGCCACCAAGAAGATCATGGCCGAGGAGGGTCCAAGGGCCTTCTGGAAGGGAACTGCCGGTAAGTCGGAATTCACTTTAATTTTTACTGTTTTCTTTTTGTAGTTTTAAAGAATTTGCGTTTATTTAATAGACCATTTGGGGCTTATTTCGATTAAAGCTAATGATAAATGTTTTCTCCGCTTTTCCTGAAGAATTCGCGTTTTTATTCGAATTAATGAACCAATTTTTTTCTGTAATGAATGTTTGGAAAATTTACACTTTTATTTCTTAAAAAGTATTCTCTTAAAAAATATTCTCTAAATATCTTTAAGGAACGTTTTTAAATGATATATTAATCAAACAAAAATTATTTGTAGTTTTATTAAACCAATTTAATATTGAGTACTTAGAATTTAAGACTTCTAAGTGATTTTATAATAATATCTTTTACCTTCTCCCACAGCCCGTGTGTTCCGCTCCTCGCCGCAGTTCGGCGTGACCCTGGTGACCTACGAGCTGCTGCAGCGCCTCTTCTACGTGGACTTTGGCGGCAGCCATCCCAAGGGATCCGAGGCGCACAAGATCACCACGCCGCTGGAGAAGGCGACGGCGACGGTGAGCCAGGAGAACTTGGACCACATCGGTGGCTACCGGGCGGCGGTGCCTCTTCTGGCCGGAGTGGAGTCCAAGTTCGGACTGTACCTGCCGCGCTTTGGACGCGGAGTAGCCGCTGCCACGCCCTCGACGGCCACGGGATCCTGATTGTACTGGCGCCACCGCCTGCCGAGCGCCACGTAGTCGAGGAGATGCAGGGTGGATGGGCAGGATTTGGGGGCTCCACGCGAGATGTGAGATATATTTTTTGCTAGGACGCGTTTACACAAAATACACACACACACACAAGGAAGCACTGAGGATATTTCTAGAGAGGATCAGGGAGGAGCAGCGCCGTATCTATAGTACTATTGTATCTGAAAAGCAGGGTTCGAGCCCTGGGCAACTGTTTTTACCACACACAACCCCAAAAAAACAAAGGAAATTCAAAAAGAATATAGATTTTGGCAATGGTGCATATATATACATACATATATTTAGGCAAGTGTAGAACTGTTTTTTTGTAAACTTTGTTAACTAGTTTAAAGTCTAGAGCAACAACCAATCACTGAACGTCAACTTTTGCACTCAATGTAACTATTAAAGCGATGAAAACCTTTTAATCTTAGTACGAATTTGTTCAAAACAATTATCAAGCAAAGGAAATGCAATGAATGACCTCTTAGCTAATAAAGAATAAATAAATAAATAAAACTCTATGTTGAAACTCTGTGGTGTCTATCTTGAAGGAATGAGGATTGGGTTTATCAGCAATCTGTATGATTTTTACCATGAAGATTGTCATACAAACAAAATGTGTCTTTATGTCATGACTCATAACTCAGGTTTCAGGTATATTCCGCGAACTTTTAGTACACAGATTTTGATTTTTAACAATGTGTTCCGAGTATCAATCTATTTAGTTGCGATTTTTGGGGTTCCGTCCGAACCCATCCTTATCTATTTTTGGTATATTTTTGGTTCTTGGAAAATTTAAGCGAGAGAGAAAGCTTAGTTTAATTCCTATATCAATAAATCTAAAGCTTATACTTTTCTCCGATTCTATGTTTTTAATTATACAGAGTATAAATATGAGGCAACCCATGGGTTGGAATTTCATTAGCTTTACAGTCTCTAAAAATTTAGTTCGCAAAAATAAACATAATGAAATTGGACATCTTCAAAATTTTTCTTGTGATTTTTGTAGTAAAGCATTTTAATGTCGTTGATGGGACCGAATCAGCAACTAATTTAACAGACGAACTCACCAGAAAATTATTTTCTGCGGTATGCACTATTAAAGAAATACAGAGTAATTTGAATGCTGCTCAGGTTCTTAAGATCTTGGAATTACAGCTGGGAATTTATAATTGCCGAAATGAAATCAATAATATAGTCAATCACTTTAACAATACGTGGAAAATGGCGGAAGAAAACCTTAAAAGCAAAGAAGATCTGCTAAAACTAAAAGATCAGCAAATTCTCGATGAAAAGGATAAGGTGAAGTTTATGAATGCAACTATCAAAAACTTGCAGAGTTACTTGGCAAATGATAAAGATATAATTAATGTTTTAAATCGAGAAATCCTTAAGAAAACTGAGCATGTAAAACACAAAGATGAACTCTTGACATTGAAAGAAAATGAAATTAGGAATAAATGTCGCGAAATTGAGAACCTGAACGAACAGATCTTGGCCAAAGATGGTCGAATCGTTGGCCTGAAGAATCAGATTAAAACATTTTCAGAGAAATTAGTTAAAAGAACAAATCACTTTGAAAAGTGTAAGGGAATTGGTTCATTTGAGGCTCCCTGGGACTCTGATGGATGGAATATAATTCAAAGACGTCAGGACGGATCAGTGAGCTTTAATCGAAGCTGGTTAGATTATAAGAATGGGTTCGGATACTTAACAGGAGAGTTCTTCATCGGATTAGAGAAGCTGCACCAGATGACTAAGGATAAGCCCCACGAACTCTACATTGAGCTTGGCAATGATGATGGAGAATATGCTTTCGCTCATTATGATAATTTCCAAATCGGAAGCGAAGAGGAATTTTATAAGCTAAAAAGGTTGGGCAGATATTCGGGGTCAGCCAACAGCGGAGATGGGCTAAGAAACCAAGAAGAAAGGAACTTCTCCACCTTTGATCGGGACAATGGCGCTTGGGGTGGTTACAATTGCATGGAATCATATTCTGGCGGTTGGTGGTACAGTGCTTGTGACCGCAGGTAAGCATATAAAATTAGAGATTAAGTTTAAAGGATTTACTAACATACATTTGAATTACAGTCTTCCCAATGGGAAATACAACTATGATGTTGAGTGGCCTTTCTTCGGTCCCTGTGACATTGTTGAAATGAGGATTAAGAGGATTAACCTATAAAAATATAAATGAACAATATTTTCCTTTTCCTCCCAACGTAACTTCTGGGCAATCATTTGGCGACAGAGTTTCCAAAGTTCAAGGATCGATCCTTTTACGAGGCGGCTTGTCCCAGAATCCAGTAGAAGCTTCTACATTTCTATTTACTTGCGTATATGTTAAATTCAAAATTACCAATAATGTCTGATTTTTTTTTTAAATTTTATTCGTATTTTAAAAACCAAATACATATATCAAATTTCTTTGAAAATTTCAAACTACCACCCAGAAAATTCCTATTTTCCTAAACGTTTGTTCCCCGATTTTTAGATAACTCTCTCTAAATTTACTTCTCTTTTAGACCCTTGACTATTTTAATAAATGATGAAAAATGATTTAGAAAACGAAGTCAAAACCATTAAAGCTACTCCCATTCAAAGTGACCCACAGATGAGGATGCCGCCCTCTTGAAAGCTGCTTGCCAACTCAATCGAGCGTCTAATTCATGGCCAATTGCCACTAAACAGGGTCGAAACGAAACGCATCTGATTAGAATTGTGCATTGGTGGTTGATTTGCAAATCGATGTTGACAAGTTAATTTTAGGCATCGCCCATTTGGTTTTCTGGGTTGCCCAGAAGACTCGGTTTCGAAGTCAACAACTGTCCGTCGACCATGACCGCTAAAAGAAACCGTTAGGGATCTTCAGTCTCCAATATGTATGCCCATATATGTCTGCCCCAATGACCGGGTGCACTGAACGAAATCGGTCGCCGATCACTGACCATCGATGGGTTATAAAAACCTCATAGATGGTGGCACTTCTGATGCAGTTTCATTTTGCTATTCGTGCCGTGAACAATGCGAGTTCAGTCGGGACTAATAGTAATCCTACTTGGAGTGATCCTAAGCGATCGTTTTGCAGCTGGAGAGGATAAGGATAATAAATCATGGATATCCCAGCTGAGAAAGTTACGCGGCGACCTTCGAGACTGCTATCAATCGGGAGTATCGCAAAGTCTGTGGTCATGTTTCCGCTCAAGAAGCTTACACATCTTCGAGGGCATTATGTCGTCGCCCGAGATTTCCCTATACGATGGAGTGCGTCTGGTAATGGCCCCGAATATCACGGCAAATACCTCGAGGCACCAAGATGAACGGAAGGATCTGAAGCATCTCACCTGGTTCGATCAACTGGCCGTGAGTTTGGCCAAGGGTCTGACGACCCACACTTTGCAAGTGAACTTGGGAAAACTAACGGAGAGATATCTAAGTAGTGGTGGGTCTTAGTTTATTTTCTATATCTATCTTTGTTAACTTAAGATCTATTCTTTTAGAGAGTTCTTCCAGCGATCCTGTGGGCAGTGCCCGACTGAGAAGACATCGTTATAACATGATCATCACCATGATGTTTGGAGTAACCGCCTTGGGTGCCATTCTAGTGCCCATGGGCTTCCAAATGTTGTCTATAGTCAGCGGAAAAGCTCTATTACTGGCCAAGATGGCCCTGCTTTTGGCCTCCATTAACGGATTAAAAAGGGTAAGTGGAAGTTAGGTTATTAAGTTACCTATATCTTAAGATATAATAACTATTTACTTACAGGTAGCCAACAATGGATTGCACTATGGACTCTATCATGTTCCAGGAGAGCATCTAGGAGGTTACTATGATAGAGGGGATGTCAGTCATCCCAGAAATGTGCCCATTCCCGTTGCTGTAGCTCCCACTTTGGATATGGGATTAAAGTAAAACGATTATAGAAGAGAACTTTAAAATTGGGAACTGCTTTTCGTACAGCAAACCAAAATATATAAATAAAATAACTCCTAGATTTATCTGAAAACTTGAAAAACTTCCTAAAAATATTTATTAGTAAGGAAATTAAATTGATTTATTTATAAGGAAAATATATTTATTGTTGAGATGCTAAAAGAGCACATCTAAAGTTCCGTTTCAAATTGTTAATTAGGAAAATTGTCTAAGAAAGAGTCAGCATTTAAGTTTAAATAAATTAAATCGTATTTCCATTTGAAAAAGCTTTTCACCTCAGCTTTTCCTTACATGTTGGCAATGCCCCAAGAAAATTCACCAGAAAAGCTAATAGTGGTGGAAAATCAAACAGCGGCAAGTATTTCAAAAAAGTGCAATGGAAATCAAAGTAAAATTAGAAATAAACTAAAACTAAGGGAATAATTATAAAGAAAAGGTTCCAGAAAAATACTTTAAAAATCTTAAGAAAATTATAAACAAAACACAACCTAATACCTCAAAGGAAAACCGCACAGAAGAGAGTTTAGAAAGTTGAGAACTCGGAAAACTCGACTGGCTGGCTGGCTATAAAAGGAAATGCGGCGCTGATAAGGACCAACACTCGGTCGTCGGGCGGCAGCGTTGACGCATCGTCCTTGTTTTTGTCCTGCAACGGTTTCTTCATTTCTTTCTCCCTTATAAGAAAAAGTTAGAATTTAAAAACGGTTTCTCCGGCGCAATTTGAAACCCGCATCAAGTATACGCAACGTATGCCCAGTGAGCATCGCGTGCCTCCGTCGCTAATTCCACGCTCTAATGAAGTTATTGGGTGCGTGATTCCTGCTCTAATCTCTGGTCAGGCCATCAGCAGAAGGATCAAAAGAAGGCGCTCCGGAACTTGAGGGTTAATTGAAAACTCGCCTCAGCCGCCAACAAAAAAAACTGAAACTCAATCTCCCCGCGGGGATTGACTTTATTTTGCGCCGAGGTTTCGAAAATCGGAAGTCGCCATGAAGTTGGTCGTGTATCTCTATTTATCCATGATTGTGCTGGGCGTACAGGTAAGTGTCGGGCTAAGAACTTAAATTGCTATTTTGTGCTTTTGTATAACTGAAATATTAAAAAAACTAAAATTAAAAGTCTAATTTATAATATAATTATAGACACTTCAAATAGAAAATATATAATACAAAACCGTCTAATTATCTTTTTGTTACTGCAGTTAGAATTTGTTTTCTTTAGTTATTTAACATTAATATTTTAATAATAATTTCAAAAGAAACATAAAGTTTTATATTTGAAAAAGTGATTTAAAATATTCGATTTCCCAACAATATTTAAAATTACTTTTACAAACTTTTAGTCGAAAGCCCCGCAGCTAGCACAACAACCCATGATGTTAGTTTTAGTTTTGTAAACTTTGCTATTATCTTTAATAAATAAATTAATAAACTTTTACAAACTGTTTTTCTCAGTTTATCAGTAGGTGACAAAGTCACGCGTGTAATTCCTTGTAATTCGATCAACAAGTTGGGCCAACTTTTGTTTCCACGTTGTTCTAATGACTTGATCTAATTTCTTTCGGCCGAGATTCGTTGCCTCGTTGGATTGATTGATTCTAGGCTTTTGGCCTTATTGCCAAACTTTCTGGCAGCCCTTTTAGCCTTTCGCTTATGCTAGAACAGATTACCTTCATTAGGCTCACGTTGCGAACCGAGTTGGTAATCAATTTATGAAAGTCCAAGCGGGTCAGCGGGTCAAAGTTTGCTGGCCGCGTCGCAAATGAATATTTAATTCGATTTGGTAATGGCCCAATCGGGGCGAAAAAGTTTCCCGTGACATTTGGCTGCAGCCGAAAACCAAAAATAGAACTCGTGCTGACAAATCAGCTAATTATGATTGAGACTCCTCCAAGACAGATAAGATAGCAGCCGCCAAAAATAACCAATCGAATCCATCTTTTTCAACCGTCAAAAAAAGGGTTGAATTGAAATGGCAAGGGTGGGTATAATAAGAAAAAAACTAAAGGTATTTTATGAAATTCAAGACAAAAGTGTAGGAGTAAGAAAAAAATTCACCTTAGCAGTTTTAAAATCGTATTTATTTCGGTTGAAAATAATGCAATAAAAAAGGATCTATAGGAATTAAAATATTTTGTTGCATACTTTTAGACACCTAAATAATTTATTTAAAAAAAAACTATTTATCGAATCCTTTCTTTTTGTAAGTTTGTACAATGAATTTTATATATTTTCGATTAAACATCTGGGGGAAAAAAAAAGTTTCTGCCGTTTATTGAATTTTCTTTGAATACCCGAATAATGCTGGCATGAAATCCATACAACATTTAAATATTAAAATAATACATGCCATTTGTCATGTTGGCCTGCTAAAGACAAAAGCCATTTGGTTATGAAAATATTCGAAAGTGCTGGCCGATTAGGGTTCTATTTTTATACCCGTTACTCGTAGAGTAAAAGGGTATACTAGATTCGTGCAAAAGTATGTAACAGCTAGAAGGAAGCGTTTCCGACCCCATAAAGTATATATATTCTTGATCAGGGTCACTAGCCGTGTCGATCTAGCCATGTCCGTCTGTCCGTCTGTCTGTCTGTCTGTCTGTCTGTCTGTCTGTCTGTCTGTCTGTCTGTCTGTCCGTCTGTCCGTCTGTATGAACGCTGAGATCTCAGAAACTACAAAAGCTAGAAGGTTGAGATTTCCCACACATATTCTTTGGCTTCCTACGCAGCGCAAGTTTATTTTAGCCGAGCGCCACGCCCCCTCTAACGCCCACAATCGCCCACTAACGATTTTTAAATGGGTCCTGCGCCCACATCTTTAAAGATTTCCGAGAAGTATAAATGCAATTTTGTTGTGTATATTTATACCTATCGAAATGTAGAAGACATTTTTCAAATCGGACCATTCATTAAAAAGTTATACGCAATCAAAAATTATATATCTATCTCCCTCGCACTCCCCTTAGCTGAGTTACGATTATTAGTGGGGACACGAACCCGACACAGGGTTCGCACTCCCTTTAGCTGAGTGACGGGTATTAGATAGTCGGGACAACAACCCGACTATAGCGTTCTCTCTTGTTCATTTCTCGACTCCTGCCATCCATCAAGTGGAGAGCCTGCGATCTGTTTGCTTAATGGCAACATTGTGGGTCAAGTCAGGAAGCCAGGAACCTAGGAAGCCAGGATGTTGGGAATCCACTTCAATGGCCAAGGATAAATGTAAATTTTCCCACCTGCCGTTTGAGCCGTGGGCGGTGGCAGAAACCAAACATTCGAGGGCTGGGAAAACCTGAGCGGAAAACCCAACGATTCGAAGGCAATGAAACTGCAACTGCAACTGACTCGTTCTCATTTCTTGCGGTAGTGATAGTGGGTGTATAGCGGTGGTCACTCACTTTGGACAGGGACGAGATTTTCCTCGAGTTTTTCCTGCGTTTTTCCCCCGACCCCACAAATCCCACTTCCTGCTACTCGATTGCCAGCGAGTCCTGCACTTGATGTGCGCTTAATGTTGACACCGACGCTTTGGCACTTTACAGCCATTTAAGCCAGGACATGACAGCCACACCCCTGCTGTCCCATTTCCGTCCGCATTTTCCTGTTTTCCCTCCGCCGCAGAGCTTCGTTTTTCACTCTGGCAACATGTGAGAGCGACAACAATTAAACCATGAATGTCAACGGGTGCAACTCGAGGAGGGAAGGGCAGGGGAGGGGAGGAGGATAAACAAGTTGTGGAGCGGAAAAGACATGAAAGATAAGCTTTAACATTCAGAGGTGACCTCTAATTGCAGCACCCACAAAATGGGGTGATCAGGTGAGTCTGCCAGGGATTTGCCGCTTTATTCCCTCTAATTTACATACGCTTTTCATTGCCAATTAGGGAAAAGTGCACTGAAAAATGGAGTGTTTAAAAGGGAGAGATTTTATGGCTTTTCTGAACAAATATTTACTTTTACTAAGCAAAGCAAATGTTTTAGAAGTTATCAAAGTTTTAAAATCTTTTAAATCTGTGCCCAAAAGTATGCAATAAAAAATTATTTTTATAGTTCTTCCGAAATTACACTCTTTTGTAGCATATATACATAACATACTTTTATTTAAAAAAAGGTATTTATTTATTAAAGAAAACTAATTCCATACTTTAATTATCACCAATTTGAAATTTCAATATTTAGAACCTTCATAAATATATTGTTTTCCTCTCTCTGTCAGTTGTAATTGAGTTCGCTACAAAGGGCTCTTATGGTCCAATATCCGGCTGGCATCACCCAAAATATGGTTCCTGGGATCCCTCTAATTTCCATAAATTTCCTCCATCATGTAGCAGCAGTTGCGCGAAATTTATGCCGTCTATTCAATTCCGTTCTGGCAGAACGTCTTGCATAAATCTCGAATGCAATATGTTCGATAAAAATCGAGGAGCAGAACTAATTTCCGCTGTGGAACCACACACACATCATCCCACACTGCATTTTAGATTTGCAAAAGCATGACGTCAAAATGGCGGTGAGACCAAAATAACTTTTTGGCCAAATTGCATTTAACAGTTCATTTGCGGTTGCGCGAAATTAATTAAATGATTAAAGCCAATAAAAAACACCACCACTCGCTCGTTCGTGCAACAGTGCGTATGCGTAATCGAATTCATTTGCGGCTTTCCGTTTAAATCCTGGGATTTTCACTTGATGACTATAAGCGCTGACAAACGCCGGGCTTAACTTTTAATCACAGAGTTGAGTGAGTTGCTGACGCAGAATAAAATGGGAAACAAATAAGGAAAGGGTCATTATTAAATACCTACTCAGAATGTTTCTTGGTTCCCCTGGGACTCATTTTTCCTTCCGTTCGCTGCTCATTTCGTAGCCATTCATTTGACTTAATTCCCTGCAATATTCTCCCTGGGCATCCGGCATTATGCGCATATTTGAGCCATCATCACTCAGTTAGACGAACGAATCCTTTACAGAACGAATCGCTGAGTGAAATTTACGCTGGCCATAAAGACGTCTAAATATTTGATGGTCCAATGGCAGCCTGTTGCTCTTCGTCTTTGGACTCTGGCGAGTGATATCACTTATTCATGGTAGCCATTCCTTTTCTTAAAGCCGAACAGCCTTTGAAGCTGTCTCATAACTTAGTCATTCCCCAAGATTCCCCCAATTCCAATTTCGATGCGAAAGTGTAAGTGTTTACTTTTTGCCGAAGGATTACCACCGGATCTCCTGCCGCGAAATGCCGAAAGTCAATATTTACCTGACCCCGCTTGGAAAAAGGATTCGAATTTCGCCAGGTGCTTCCTTCCGCCACCCAAAGTGTCGCTAAGCGAACTTTTAATCAAGTCACAAAAATATTTCTGGCATCTTAAATCCCCGGCAGTGGCATGTGAAGACCTGATTCGCATATCCCCGGCTAATTAGCGGGTTTTTCCCAGAGTGACGGGAACAAAGGAATCTGCCGCCTACGACGACCTTCGCCCCCATTCCCTTATCCTGCATAATAATACTGAAAAGTGCTGGAATTGATTGACTCGGCAGCAGAACAACAGGCTCATTAATCAATTCACGCGACTTCCGAGCTGACAAGATATGAATGAACATTTTAAAATAGAACAGGCCAAAGTAAAAACAACTAATTGAATATTCCAATTTTTTCAATTAGTTAATTCATTAAGAATTCCAGCCAGGCTTTCAAAATTATAAAGAATTTTTTTTACATTTGAAATTCAAGAATAATTTACAGGAAAATAAATTGAGAAATTTACTTTATTTAACTTTTAAAGAAAACCACTAATTTTGAAAAATTAAAATAAATTAAATACATTATTTTATAAATAAATAAAATGCCCGAATATGAAATTATTTTTAGACATTTTTGATAACAATAAATAAGTTAGTAATTTTAATACGATTTCGACTCTTTTCGTGAATATTTATATCCGATGAAATTTATAAAATTAATGTTTCTTGGCAAATTAAATGCCAAGAAACTAAATTCCACAGCTTTGAATTATGATTTCAAATGGAAAGCTAATAAAAGCCCATTATTCAATAGCCAATAAATGCAGAAATGCAGGTTCAATGGCAAGGTGCGTCGACTTACTGGGATTCTTCGCAGGATTGTCACAATGCCCATAGAACTTTTCTATTTTTTCCGTCTATTTTTCTATCCCCTCGCCGCCCACAAAGTTTTTCAGCCACTTTGAATGGCCGGCAGAATCCTCGGATCTCCGTGGCAACTTTTCGGATAGCAATCCAGGTCCCAATGAAACCTTTTCAGGGAGCAGCTGGCGCATCCCCTAAAAATCCGGTGGCAGCATTGTGATTATGCAAATGAGCCCGCTGCCAAGTGTGTTTTCAAAGGGATCGTGTTTATTATTTATTTACAGCCCGTTGACAGTTTATCCAGACTCTTGACTAAAGATTTGTGACGTCAGATTTTTAGGTTTATGTTTTTTTAGGGATATCTTTGGGGATTAAAGTTGGTGCGGCACAAACCGCCACTAATTGACAGTTCCATAACGACTCGCGAAAGCCAAAGCTCGAGTGTTGCGCAAACAAATGTCCGATGCCCCCGAAAACTTTTTGGCTTTTGGCCGGAACTCAATTATTTGAGCCCGCGGCCAATGCGTCACCATTTATCAATTTCCCAGCGGTCTGGGGGCTGCGATTTCAATTAACAGGAAAATCTGGAAAAAAGTTACCACTAATCAATCATAAAATTTGAGAAATGCGAGAAAAGCAGGGCGCAAAAAATGGCTGCGATGTCGTTCCTTAATAAAAAGTTTTAACTTTTTGCCCCCGATTTGTCATACTTAAAATATTTCCTGACCTCTTGGAAATATATAGATAAAAATATATATATCCCAAGCACGTTCTCTGCGTCATCTGCTCTATTCTTGTTTATTGGAGAATCGTGTGTGGTAGTTTAATTAAAAGCGGCTATTGTCCTGTGTCCCGGATGACCTCTTGTCCCCCATTTGGCATCCTCTGCAGTTGCATTTGTGGGCTGGTCGCTAAGTGCCGCATTAGCTGCGCCCCCCGCGATGTTTCTTTCTTTGGCTACAGCAGTACAGAAGTACAGAAGTCGGCGGACATTAGTCGGCGAGGACATCCCGCTGATCCTTGGGCCAGGACCCTTTCCCCCTACTCGTCTGGCTGTCTGTCTTTTGTGTGGAGATTGTAAGGGGCAGGAGGAGGAGTTGGAGAAACAGGAGCCACTGCCTGACTGCTCCGGATCCGAGTCAGTTTTTACGTTCACTTGCAGTCAGCAGGAGGGGAGCTTTACGTAAAAAACATTACTTTCGGAAAAGTTTTATTAAAATGTGAGCAATGTCTATTATTTTCTGGTTAGCGGCTACACAAAAAAGAATTACTGTTTAAATCAATTATAATGGGACATTTAAATGTAGCTTAAGCCTTCAACAATAAATAAAAGCGATGGCTTACGAGCTTAAAAATGGTTTACGAGCTTAAAGATAAAACACAAAAAAAGAATACCCGTTTTTTATATAATTTGTTTTAGGAAAATATATATGAAATAAAATGTTGTATACATTCTACCTACGAAAATACAAACCTTTTCTAGAAAGGGTATTAAGGGCCGGTTTCTCGAGTGCCGGCTAACATTTCTCGAACAGATAAAGTCCCTGCTAAGGCATTTTGGCTTTCTCGAGCAACAATGTGAGAGCTAATTTTGACAGGGACTCGGAGTCCTTGTTAAGCGTTTTTGACTCGATATAATGACAGCTGATTTCCCAAAGCCAACTAAGTAGAAGAAACGAAATCACAGCTGACTTTTCCTTTGAATTATACCCAAACAGCTGATGAAATAATCGAAGCACGCCATTTTTCACGCTTTACAGTACAATTCTGTGCGTTAACAGCACTCTGTAATTGTTTCTCGTTTAGATAAATTTAAGCAGTGGAGAAAGCCGATTTGCGTTTACGAACAGTTTATCCGGTCTTTAAGTTTTTCGAACAGATAGCTATCAGGGACTTTGACAGGGACTCGAGAAACCGGCCCTAAATAATCTAAATTTTTTTATAAAGAATATCTATTAGTGATTTTTTCTGTTCTCAATTTTGTATTTAATGGATATTGAAATAAATATTTTTTGTCTAATTGAATACTTTCCTTTCCAAAATATAATATTTATTTAATACTTACTCCAATTAAGGAAAATTTGTCAGTGCACTGCCTTACTTTCTGTGTAATTTATGTTTCAGGCCTGGCCCAGTGTGAAGCGTTCCTTTGAGCTTTTCCCCAACCCTGCGGTGCCGCACAATGTGCACACGGTCTCAGGTAAGTTAAGATCCCCATAGCCCCCACCTCATATACAGATTCAACGAATAGGGGGATGGGGAAACTTTTGCAGTCAAGTGCCCTCGGCGGAAAATGGAAAATGGGAAATGCACTTTGGCGGCAGCGACAAGTTTAAAGCGCTTTTCTAAACCTTGTTTACTTGTCTCTCAAATTGATTTCTGCATAAGTTGTGAGCGCTTCTGGTAGTATCATCATCCCCAAACCAGCTGGGCACCCAGGGCGTATACGCAATTTGTACAACCAGGCAACACACGAATTTATTGCCCATTAAAATTCAAATCAAAGTGCACTCCAAGTATCCCCCCGCTCGAAACTCTGACCCAAACTGTCCAAATGGAAATGGTAGATTGAGATTACAAACTTGTGGTCACTCGATGGCCATAGAAATGGAATATTGTGATTCCGGCGAAGGAAAACTTAATAAATTTCAATAGGATGGCCAGCAACTCGTGCCAACTTCAATTGACTTAATCCCTCGCCCGGATTTTCTATCCACTTCCCTTTTAGCATTTCCCAGGGGAAAACCATCGTCAAAGCAACCGCATGTCACAGGTCACAGAAAATGTAAAGTTGCATCAGTCTCACAATCTCGGAATCAGGTGGAAACATCAACAAATCTGTGGCTATGCCGATTTATAATTGCTTTTATTTATAGTCAGGGTGGATTTTCTAGAGGGCAAGGGGAGACTTATTTGTAGAGGGAGGGTCAGCTTAATGACGTCACATCCAGAAATAGAAAGACCATTGGGAAGGACAAATAAATAAGCACTTTAATCCTTGGGATAAACAAAAAAGACACCAGGTCGCATCAAAATTTTGCAGTTATGGAAAAAATAACAATTAAATTCGAAATAGTCTTGAACATAAAATGAAAAGATTATTGGATAACCTTTTCTTTTTGTTAGAAAAAATAACTGAAATAAAACTAAAAATTATTTTAAAAATATAAATAAAAAATAAATAAATATTTAAAAAATAAGTTAGTGATTGTCATCTGTCAAATTTGTAAAAAGTGAAAATAAATCTTCAATACTTTATTTACGATATTCTGTTTATCTACTAAAAGTAAATTATCTTTATTATGTACATTAAAAAGTATAATTAAATAAATAACTTTAAAAAATGAAGGAATTCTAGTTCTTTAATTTTAAAAAACTGATCATTTTGTTAATCTACTAAAAGTACATTTTCCTTACTACTTACAAGCCAAATAAAATAAATGAATTTTTAATGGTTACTCATTAACTACCAGCCACTTTGGTTATGATTATTAAACCATAATGCCTAATCAATTATGGATTGTAATAAACAGAAATGTTAAAAGGCCGAAAAAGCCGCCACTCGAAAGCAATTAGCGAGTGTCATAAACAAATTGGCGCCAAGTGACAGGATGGGTGCCCCAATGCCCCGTTTACCCATCCTTCCAGGACCTCCCTTCCCATCGTATTCCCCATCAAGGGATTCACGTACGAGAACATCCCAATCCCACAAAGCCCACACGAGTACATTCCGAGTATGTGACATGCATGTCAAGAATGGGACAAAAAATAAGTCAAATAGTAGTTTAATTGTTTTTCGGCCTGGCTTGGATGGTACGGGGATCCCAGGGAGGACGAGAGGTCATAAAAAGCAAACCCACATATCGTACATGTCGCCTATATAAGAGTGGGTGGCCCGGCTAATAATGCCGGTCATAAATCAGCCAACGATGGCCGGCATTAAGTGGATGCGCATGATAAATTAATTGTTGCCCAGGAGCCAAGTTAAGAACAATCAAAGGGGATTTCAATTGCCCACCCCTAATCTCGGGAGTTCTCCAGGATATCGTGGAAATTTGCCAAGACAAATTGGTTTCGGATTCGGTTTTGCGGACTCGGTTTTGGGGGCTGCTGCACTTAACTTACTGCTTCAAGGCATCAAGTGCATTCGGTGCACCAGGTTAAAATCGTTTCTTGTATTTAAATATAAGCAAATTTGAGACAAATTTCCTTGAATGGAATTCGAATTTTTCTAACTATGTATCAAACCAATTTAAAAACAAAATATAAAAAAAAAAAAAAATAATTTTTTTTCAATAAAGAATCTTTTTAGATAAAATGTTTAAAAAAAAATTATATATTTTTTCGAAAGTTTAAAAATGTAATATAAATATTAAGGAGAGGTTTTTGGTATACCTCTGTCTTTTTTTTTCCTTAAATATTCAGAACCCTCTTTTAAGCTTAGAAACCTCTCTTCCCACCTTTTTTTTCCCAGTGCCATGCCATTAAATCCCACCCTCTCAATTTCCCTCCTTCCTCAGATTGCATGCATGTGGCCTCCGAGGCAGGTGACTACATCTTCAAGAAGCTCAACCCCCTCAGTTCGGCCCTCAATCGGGAGGCAGCTCTGCTCGAACTGGAGGCGGCGGTGGTTCCGGGGGAAGGAACAGGAGGAGGAACAGGAGCAGCCGGTGGAACTGGGACAGCAGATGTCCAGGAACTGCAGCCCGAGGTCTGTGGGCTTTATGTGATTGGGGAGCCAGACACGATTGTCGAGATTACAATGAAACACTACGATGCGAACTGCGAGACAGGAGCCCTAATGGCGGTAAGTGCTCCAAAGTGTCCACTAAATTATGCCCAAGAGTTACCCACTTTCCTCTTCTTCTGGATTAAAACAGTTTGTTGATGGCTGGGAGCTGAATGGCGAGTACTTTCCGGGTATTAAGGATCACCATCGACCGCTGGAGGAGCGTGTTTACGAGTTCTGCAACAATTACAGGCAGTGGTGAGTGCAGATATGATTTGGTATTAGGATCTTAATTTACCTTAATCCCAAATAACTCTTCAGGCCGCGAGTGAGTAACAAGAAGTTCTTCCGTTCGAGTCAGAATGCCGCTTTGCTCCAGTACCGCATTCCCGTGAGAGGCTCCTTTGTGGCCAATGTGCGATTCCACAAGATCACGCAACGTAAGTTGTCACTTTTTAGAATATAAAATGTTTGTAACTTTATTTTAAAAGTTTAATTTATTAAAAGTCTATAAATCATTTATAAAGGTGTCCAAAAGTATGCATTGAAATAAGAATACCATATGTCTGAGTAAATCGAACGGTCTCAAAATATATTGTTGCATACTTTAGGGCACCTTTATTAAAAATCCCATATTTAAAAACCGTGAATATTCTTATACATTTTTCTATACTTTCTTTTACTTGTGATTTTTTAGCCTGTAATATTTTGGTCCAGGAAACGGCTGCCATGTACAAGATGACCAACTTTGGCCAGGCTCGCAACTGCACCATCTCGGCGCTCTTTCCTGCGGTGGTTTCCCTGGCCAGTTTGCGTATAGGCGGCAAGAGTGTGAGGGCCCAGACCAAGGTTAACTACGATGTAATTATAGCCCTTAAATAAACCATATATATTTCTTATAAGCCTATTCCCCCAATCAAGTGTCAAATGCCCAGTGATCGATTAGAGATCGGCGGATCCTCGGGTCTGGATCCCATTGGCATGGAGCAGGCCAGTGCCGTGTGTGGAGCCTCCAGTGACTTGGGTCCCGAACAGGCCATCTTCTGTGGCGTGAGCACCGTGAGATTGGTGTCCTCGGGGAGATTCCAGAACCAGGCGGCCATTGTCCTGCGAAAGGCCGATGTGCAGGATATGGAAATTGCCACGCTCATCTGTGCGCTTTAAGCTCTGAAGAGTCGAAGAGTCGTGAAGCCCAAGGACCCTGTCCAAAAAAAATATGTACATGTTTGTAAAAAAAAAACAAGAGAGTGGAAAACAAAGAATCCTGATCAGCGGACAACACCTCCCCGGAATTCCATCGTAGTGCTTAAACTTAACTCTTAACTTAATCCAGCTAATTCGCAAAGTATTCGCTACCCGAGAGGCATCTTAGGTACTATATATATATATGTATATCGAACATTCTGAGTGTTGACTACAAAAAAAAGAAAAAAGCGTGTGTGTTTATTGGTTTTTAGTTATCTCCAGAGGTTTCGGGTTTTTCTTTAGTTGTTTTATGGCCCCTTTGTTATGGTCTAGGATTATCGCTTTTGATAATATGGTTTAAGAATAGATGGGGGGCAAATTGATAAGTCTTAGCCAAGAACTTTAGATGCAGTTAAGATTGTTAAGAGAGAAGCCAAACTGAGGGCAGTTAAACCAGCGGCACCTCCACCTCCATTGTCATCATTATCATCATCGGTTTCATTTTCCAGCTAAAAAATAAGAAAAACATATAATAGATAGAAATCGATAGTAAATTTCTGGTATTTCATACACATATCGATTTTACCATGAAACTCTGGTAAAATTTATATTACCGAAATATCGTTTCTACGTTTTCGAGCATATCAAGTCAAAATTCATACCACATAATGTAAAATCGATGATAATACTTACACTCTCTGCCAGGATGGCCTGCAGTTCCTTGCAGCGAGTTCGCTCCTGATAATTACTGGTGGCAATTCTACAAATGGTCTTACTAAGACAACTATCATCGCATCCCTCGGCCAACTTGGGATCGGAGTTCGTGAACTTATTGCGCCAGAATTTCCTCAGCAAAGCGGGCTTCTCAGCCATTTCCACTAACAATCCATCGATTCCTGCGGGACTGGTATCCTCGGTGTATTCCTTGGTGAACTGGTACTCCAAATTCCACTGGGGCTGCTCATTGGGGCTCAAATTTGCCTCCGTTAGATTTATGGTATAGGTAAGATGATCCAAAACATGCCAGTTTTCTGGGTCAAGTTCATACAGCCGGTAGTTGGGGTTCTTGTTCGAATAGGCAGTAAGACTTCCACCATTCCAATTGACAACCGTGGCAAAACCCTCCTCCGAATAATGCAGATTCATCTCGTCCTTGTGGGTGTGACCACTGAAGACTCCAGTTATGATGCCATTGAATCGCGTGAGAACCCTGTTGTATTCGTGGGCCCAACTGCTCCAGCAATCGCCATCGCCAGCGGGAATGTGGGTGAGAATGTGGACGGATTCACCCGCCTGCTCAGCGGCTAGTAAAGTATCATGGAACCACTGAAGCTGCTCCTGGATCAAGGAGGCATTGTAGAACAGCCACCAGTTGTACAGATAGCAATCCATGCTGTTCAGTGCCACAATTCGGTGTCCTTCGCTTGGTGAGACTGTGTAGTATCCTCCACGAAGGACGGTGTCCTTGGCCTCGGCGGGCAGCCACTTGGACCACAGACTCCAAACGTGCTCGTAAAGCCAATCCACTTTCAGCTCTGTGGGCACCTCATCGTTGCCGAAACTATAGAATAATTAAAAAAAATAATTATATTAATAAAAACAAATTTCAATGATTATAAAGGCCCATTAAAACATTTTAAAACGCTATATTTTCTTTTTACTAAATTATTTTTATATATATATCTATATTTTTTCTTATCTATAATATTCAATAAGAATATTTTTTTAATTTTCTGATAAAACCAAACACCCAAAATTTTTATTTCTAATTATAAAGAAGTGCAATTATAAACAGGTTTAAAAATAAGAAACCCCCTACAATTTCTTGGAAAAACTCACTACCACTTGAATTTCCCTTTGAAGAAAACGAAAATGCATTAATAGTATTATAAGAATTAAGTGCTGCAAAGCTATAAAATCATTAGTGTCCCCCAATCGTTTAAAAGCCGATCAATTTTAAGTTCAGTAGATTAGTTTCGGTTAGTGGTAGTATTACCTCCATTCAAAATTGTACCAATTAGCTGTAGTAAATATTTACTATGGGGGCTACCATATCATACTTTATGGTTTTGCAGCGGGGGAGCTATGGTGGGAAATTCTTACAATAAACTTTATCTAGACGGAAAATACAGAAGTTTTCAAACAAAAGTTTATTAAAAATTTTACGATATCTATTTTTAGGGCGTTCATTAAGTAGTTTGTAGTACCCATATTCAAAGAGGTTCTATAACATCGCATTTTATAAGCTTTTTTATAAGCTGTATTATGGGAAAAAAATTACCATAAACTTTATCTAGACGGAAAGTACAGAAGTTCTTGCGAAGATGTAGTAGTTCTTTTATGACCCCAATGTTTTTCTATGTTTTTGGGTCAGAAATAAGAGCACCCTTACCGACGAAATAACCAAGAATTACCAAAAACCCATTTCAAGGCAATTTCGGACACGTTCCTTTGAACTTTTCCCCCATCTGGGTGATTAACTTAATAATAATTTTAGGGGGAGTGCAAATTACGGGTACTCTACTCACACATTTGCTGGATGGGGTTCGTGATTTCCAAGGCAGGGATAGATGGGCGTATTGGGGAAGTACTCGGCCAGCAGTCCATCGATTTCGGACAGCATATCCAGATTTCCCTGTTTCGTAGTGGACCAAACGTTGTGAGGTGGAACATCTCCCGTGTGATATATCCACTCGATCTTGTGGTTCTCCTTGATATGATCAAAGGCACTGAGAATCAGCCGCTTGGGGCAATCACAATCACGGTAATCCGACCAAAAACCAGCTGCTGCCGAGGAATCAGATCCTTCGGCCAAAGAATTCCTGCAGCACATGGGTTCATCGCAAGCGGCATTGCTGCCCTCGGCATATTGGGGATCGTAATGGATGTCGGTCAGGTGGAGTATCAAATGATCTCCAGAGCTCTTAGCAGGTAAATTTGAGTTCGATTCGGTGGGGGAATCACCCTGAATGGTCAAAGTCAAATTATATTCATCCTGTTTCACCTGGCAAATGGGAATGGGCAGCATTCCGCAGAAGGATTGCGAATTGGCCACAGTTTCATTCAGAATAAAATCGAATATAGGCCAATTGAGTTCGAATAAACCAGAGCAAACCTCCTGGGTGCTGATGGCAAAGTAATCACAGATACCCAGCAACAATTTCTTGGCCTCGTCATCTCTTTGGGGACCACTCAATTCTCCCTCGGTGAAAGTGCGAGCAAAAACATTTATGGTAGATCTGCATAAAGTGCAAACGAAAAACTGATCGGTGGAACTCAAGTCAGCCATGGATTCCGTGAAAATGGCCTTTTTGCTGTGACCGTTCCGCATATCCTTCCCCAGCTCCTGAAGCCTCTCCGTTTCGATGCCCGTCCGGTGATACTTCAGGTACTCGCGGCTTATCTCTTCCGCCACGCTAGCTGCAAAAAATCCAACAAAAATCCAATCACGGATGTCAAAAATTAGGCACTCGAAGCTGTCAGCTGGCAGTTATCTTTTGGACAACTCCAGACAATTTCTACTTGGTGACTACCTGACTAACTGATCCATTCATATATTGATTGACAGTTTAATTCATAAAATGGGAAGCCATATTTCATTTATATAATCAACGATTCTCATAAAGAAATTTTATAATTTATAGGTATTTAAATAAAAAAGTATTTATCAAAAAAATATATAAGGATTTTTTATGTGCGACTTCTTTAAAAACTTTTTTATTTTTTATGTGAGACTTTTTTTTTCAATTTTGTAAGATTTTTACTTTTGGTAATAAATTGTTATTCTTATAATAATGACAAAGACAATTATATTCCACAATCCTCACTGGTATGAAAGATAAATATCAAATAAGAAAATTAGTTTTAAAGATCTTCAAATATTTTCTTTTTTATTTTTTAAATTTTTATATAGAATTTCTTTTATATTCTTAAGAACCTTTTTTACCCACCTGATATGACGGCAGCTGCTCGCTGTTCCTTGGTCAGATAGTCGGGAACATTTGGCAGGCTGAAGGCGGCACAGCCGACCAAACATATGGCGATCCCCAAAACCGCTGTGCTCCAGATCAACTTCATGGCGAAACTGCTTAAAGGATTGCAATCGAGCCCCTACTTATAGCCTAATATCGCCTATTATCAGCTTATCCGCTTATCAAAGGCGTTGATATCGCCCAAAACGAAATGCCAGCGGTCGTCAGCCCATACTAATTCGAGTTCGAGGACAGATTTCTTGGCCAGCTAATCGGTAAAGGGTAGATTTTATTTGAGTCCCTACAAAAAAGCACTATTCGCATTTAGAGAAGAAAAAAATATTTTTTAAAAAGAGTTTGGTTTACCTAAAATGCTATTGAATCTGTAAAATATTTACTATACATTTTAAAGAAAATGTTTAGTATTATTTCCAAGAAAATATTAAATAACTAAAAAACAAACTGAAGTTCTCCTCTTATGTTTGTGTTTTTTAAATATTTTTTCGATACAAAAAAAAACCTTCGCACTTAAATGGATATGAGCATGGTCATAAATAGTAAAATTGATCATCGTTTCATATCAAGTGTTTTTTGTGTAATTTGTAGTGATTCAGATTATGGCATGATCCCAAACTTTCGATCACGATTTTCAGCCTAATCGATCCATTGTAAATCATTCCCAAAACAAAGCTCTTTTGCACGTGCTTACACTTATCCGTAGGTCCAAATTGGCCAATTGCCTTGGCCATAAACCTGTAGCCAACTGGCGTGTTTTATGGCCAGCACGGTTCAATTGGCTAATTTGCGCTAATCGCCATTAGTCGATAAGGTGCGACAATCGGCAGGAAAACAAAGTCCCAGTCCCCCCACCAAAAGTAAAAAAAAGTGAGCACAAGATTATCTTTCGATGGGGATAAGCGCATACTTCTATTTGCCACTTGAGAGTAGCCGCTTTTAGAATGGAATCCATTCGCATTATATAAGACTTAGGGGGTATTACTAGAGGTGAGGATTACTAGAGGGTAAGGCGGATGGAGAGGACGATGGCCAGCAGGGATCCAATACTGAGCACTGCCAAAGTGGAGGATCCTCCGTTTCCATCATCATCATCTGGAGTGGTAGAACTACTGGGTCCAGGAGTAGTTGCTTCCTCGTTGTCCAGCTGAAGGTTAAGTTTTAAAAATTAGTTTTAAATTTAAAGGTTTCTAGGGTTTCATCTTACGGAAGCAAACAGCTTTTCCCGCAGCTCTTCGCAACGTCCTCGCTGGGAATTGATAGTCACAGCAGCGCGACAAAGAGATCCTGCCAAGCAGGTGCGATCACATCCTCCATTCACCTGCGGATCTGCAGAGGTCACTCGGTAGCGCCAGTACTGAAAGATTGAGGGGTGTTATAAGGTGGCGGAAACTAATAGTTGGTAAGTAATATTTTGTAATTCCCTTAATCTTTTTATAGTAATTAAATCATATTAAATATCAAAATTCTGACATATTTTAGATACTATTTTCCATAAAAATTATGATAATAATTTTTTTTCTAGGAAATAATTTATAGAACTTTTAAAAATTATAAAAATATCCACAATAAAAACATAAATATTGATTAAACTTATATTTGCCAAATAATTTAAATTGTTTGTCTAAATCTTTTATAGCAAAATTTTATAGCTTTTCTAAAATAATTTATAGAATTTCAAAAAAATTATAATAATAGCCACAATAAATAGATAAATAGTCACCAATAAATATATCAAGTAATATCACATATAATACTATCCAAAAAATCATAATAATTTTAATTTTCTCAAGGATCTCAACTCACCTTCCTCATCAGCGTGGGATTCTCGGCAAACTGGTCGAGGAGCTTGTCAATTCCCGCAGGACTCGTGTCCTCGGTGAACTCCTTGATGAACTCGTACTCCAGGAACCACTTGGGCTGCTCATCGGGCGTCAGATTGGCCTCGGTGAGATTGTAGATCCAGGTCTTGTGGTTGGTCACCTCAAAGGTTTCGGGGCTCACGGAGTATTCCCTGTAGTTCGGATTCTTATTGGAATAGGTGGTGACGGCACCTCCGTTCCAGGCGACCGCAGTGGCATGTCCTTCGTCCTCCGAATAGTAAACGAAAAGTTCGTCCTTGTGTGAGTGTCCTGTGAAAATGCCACTGATTGTGGAACTGAAGCGGGTGATGCATCGGTTGAATTCCCTGGCCCACACGGACCAACAGGTTCCATCTCCCGAAGGGATGTGAGTCAAAACATGGACGTACTCCCCGGCCTTTTCGGCCTCCAAGAGGGTATCGTGGAACCACTGGAGCTGGGGAATCTTGTCGGTGCCACTGTGATACAGCCAGAAGTTGTCCGTATAGCAATCGTTGCTGTTCAGAGCGATGATACGGAATCCCTTCCGGGGCACTACGGTATAGTAACCACCCTTCAGGATCGTCTCCTTAGTTTCCGCGGGCAGCCACCTGGACCAGTCGTTGTACAGGTGCTCGTACAGCCACTTGGTGCTGATCTCATCCGGAACGCCCTCGGGACTGAAGCTGGAATTTAGAGTTAAGATAGATTAGAGTTTATGGTAAAGGTGCTCAAAAACATTATAAATTATTGCGTGATATGCAGGAGGAAATCAAAGATAAGGATCTAATGGTATAGGTACTTATAAGTGCGAGTTAATCTATAAGATTAGGATTTTAAATGCATGGCATCTATAAATAGAAAGTTTAAGTTCCTATATGTATAAAAGATTTCTGATTCGGAGTATAAGAAATTCCAACAGGTGTTTGTTCTATTAAATATGAAAAATATATTTGATAGAAAATAGAAAAATATATTTAGTAAAAAATTATAATAGTTGTAATATATTATTTTTAAGACTTAGTAGAAAATTGTAATACATTTAGTATATTATTTGCAGTGTTGGGACATACCTAGATACTTTTACCTAGGTACGTACCTAGGTACAATTTAGTGGTACCTTTTACCTTACCTAGGTATACAAATAATTGAGTACCTTTTACCTTACCTAGGTATTTATTTTTATATACCTTTGGAATTATTAAGGTACTTACATAGGTATTAAACATTGCTCTGATTTAAAATAGCCAAATCTGACTGCGACACTGTAGTATCGTTTCATTGTATCGTTTCGTTTCAGAATTGTAATAGTCGGAACGCAGCATTAATAATTCAGCCGTTCTATTGTTTGTTTTGTGAAGTTAAAACTAATCGCAGTTTTTTTTTATATAATTTTGTGCACGTATGTATGTTCCCATCACTACATCAATTTATTTATGAAACCAAAGTGTATTTGGCGCGCAAAAATTCCGTATGTACGTAAACAAACGGCATATACATGCATATGCACAATATATAGTCAATGTTTCTACATACGGAATTTTTGCGCGCCAAATATGTACATGAGGGTTTCATAAATACATTAATGAAGTGATACGTGCATAAAATTATTCATGCCGCGTGGTTTAAAAATATATGCACAAAATTAAAACATTTAAATTTAAATGAAATGAAAAGATATTGTTTGATTAAGACGACTAAAAACTGAAAACTAGTCTTATTTTAAGTTTAAATGATTACATTGAACAAAACAAAAAAATTATAAAAAATAAAAAATACCTTATAAATACCTTTTACCTTTACCTAGGTACTGGGAAATTTAAGTACCTTTACCTTACCTAGGTATTTATTTTTGACAATACCTTTTACCTTACCTAGGTAAAAAAACACAGTACCTTTCCCAACACTGATTATTTGTAAGACTTTGCATTACTTTAATATCTGTTAAATATTAGATCCTTTAGGTTAAATATTGTAAATTTTAAATAATATAATAGTTTATATGTTCTATGAATCTGTTAAATGTGATTGAATATATTATTTAAGGTATTTGTTAATAGATCCTTAAGGTTAAATATTTTAAATTTACAAGTAAAATGGGTAACTTACAGGTTGAGAGGATGCGGCTCATGATTTCCGATGCAGGGATAGACGGGAACCTCCGGGAAGGCCTGGTTGATCCTCTCACTGACCTTGGTCAGCACCATGGTGTTCTTCTCCACCGAAGTGGCCCACACCATGTGATCCACAATATCGCCCGTCTGATAGACATAGTCGCACTTCGTATTAACCACCGCACTATCCAGAGCGGATTCAAAGGCCTGCCAAGGGAGATCGCAGTCCCTGTAATCACCCCAGTAACCAGCCGCCTCACTAGTTCCCTGGGTCGAGTCCTTATTCCGCTGACAGCACATGGGTTCAGCACAGGTGGCCAGACTTCCAGGTTCGTAGAGAGGATCATGATGGATATCGCTGAACTGGCAGATCCTTATATCGGATTCACTATAGGTAGGAGTATCCGACTTTGGTCCGCTCAAAGCCTCACCTGTATTATCCACAGGCAAGGTCCAATTGTAATCCGCATTGGAACCAGTGTTACAGAAGCTGAACTCCATGAACAGCGAGCAGAAACTCTGGGAATCGCTCTCGGAATTTCTCATAATATACTCCACACTCGGAAGATTGGAATCAATGAGTCCTTCGCAAACCTCCTCCGTTTGCAGATTCAGGCGGCGGCAAAAGTCCATGGCAAAGTCCTTCATGAGTACAGAGCTATTTTCACCATGCAGTTCACCTTCCTCCTCGCGAATCGTGCGAATAAAGACATTCATCACCGAGCGACAGGCAACGCACACAAAAAAGCTATCGCGGGGCTCCAAATCGGGCATATTCCTGGTGAATATATCCTTCTCGCTATGCGATTTGGCCAGCTGATTTGTGAGCTTCAGGAACTCAGGGGTCTCCACTCCAGTCTTTAAATAATTCACATACTCCTTGACCAGACGCTCCGAAATATCATCCGCAATGGCGGACAGGATGTGATCGTCCACATCGAAGTCCACCGGCACTCCGGGCAAGTTTACGGCGGAAACCACCAGGAACCCGGAGGTTAAGGCTAGCAGAACTCCAATTCCGAATACCCTCATGGTTCGCAGAGCAACTGGAGCATAACTTCCAGCGGTGGGGCCACTTATAGCCTTCGGTTATCTCTTTTCGGCCAGCTGGCCAATCCATTGACAAGAGCGGGAAAACCCATTCAGCCGGTTCAGATTAGCCTAATCTGCAATCGTGGAGCTTTCTGAATATTTTTTTATATTCGCTATAAGAGGCGGTCATAATCTGCCTCCGGTGGGGCAGATTGCAGATTTTTGAATAGTACATCGTAAAAGCGGCTATTTTGGCAATTTATTACCAATTGGCATTAAAAACATGAGTTATTAGACCGTTAGTTATTAGCTATAAGGTCCTTAATTAGGAGAGAAACAACATTTTTCAGCCCCTTCTGTATTTGCATCATATACAATCATGAATATTTTAAATGTCGAAGTATTTAGTACAAACTAATAATAATAATAATAATCTTATCATTTCTATTATTGTGAGCTAAATAGAAAAGATAAGAGGTACATAAAAAACTTAAGATTTGCTTTGAAATCATTATGTACTTTATTTATTTTTGATGTGTTTAGTTTTCTTGGTAAACTAGGTTTTTTCACTCCTAGTTTTTTTATTTTTATTATATATTTATTAAAGTTCCCTAATTAGATATACATACATAAAATGCTTAAAAACAAACTAATTAAATTTATTTGAACTTTCAAGCTTTTATAGCAAATTTTTATATACAATTTGAATTATCGCGGCTGTTTTTCAAATAATACGTTGAATTAGTGCGACCGGCGTCCATCTACCAAAATAATACCACTTTTAAATACCAGAATTTCAGTATTTTCACTCAATTGGTATTTCCGAGTGTGACCGCTTCGAATCCCTATAAAATCCCCGAAATACTTAAATCTGGTATATTTCCCCCCAGCCGGACGGTCCGCCATTTCCGCGGTCACACTGGTCACTTTGTCAATCAAAATATTAGAAAAACTCCGTTTCCGCCTCGAAAGTGCTTCTCGGGATCGTGCGAAAGTGTTAAAAAGCGAGCGATCGGTTCGTGGCTACAAAGAGCGCTAGGGGGCGATGAAAATCAAGCAGAAACACACCGTTTTTCGTTCTTAAACTTTTACTTACGGCAGACACGCACACGCACGCACCTCACCGACGCACACTCGCACACACACTCAAACACACACAGACACGCACGCGGAGAGAAGAGCGCCAGCAGCGAGAAGAAGAAGAAGCGGGAGACCATCAAACTTACAATTTGCGAGGTGAAAATAACGAGAACGAAGGTTTTCCCAGCGCCAAAGTTCATAAATCGCGAGTGTGTTTTCATTAACAACATTTTTCCGGATTTATTTACCCCGCCAACCCGTACCCCTTCCCCGTTTTTCTTGTGAAAATGGGGCTGCCCACTTGCTATTAGCTGTTTTCTATTTTTTTTTTTTGTGAATGGAATATATTTTCTGGAGGCTGTCGCGCGCAATTTTCCGAATTTTCCTTCGTTTTTCACTTTTGAGTGCTAAACTTAGTCACCCAGGCGGAAGGACGAAGGCGCGTCCTTGATAAATCGATGTGCCAAAAGGGAATGCAAGAGAAGCGAAGGGCGCGCAAAAGGAAAACAAGGAAATAACGGTGAAAAGCGTGGGCGGCGCGCTGCCTCGAGGACTTCCGCCCCGCCCCCCTTTCCGTTACTGTTTCTGTTTTTCGTGTCCTTGCAGGCGTCTTAAAATTATTGTTTAGAAAGTACTATGAACTTTCCAAGGAAGCCGTATAAAGTCGGTACTATATATTAATTATGGAGCGTCAGCTGATTTGACTTTAGAATTCCCTTGTTTTTACCGGTTTTAGGACTTTATATAGTCATATAGCATTAAAAGTTTGGTATTATACATGCTTGAGGCAGGTCCTTGAAAGATATATCAGCTCTATAGCATCCCACTAGAAAATACAACACACAGAAAGAACCTCCGTTACAAACCATATTTATTATTATTTCTCTATAAGAAAAGATATTATGAAAAATAATGATCTTAACTTTGTAATCTTTAACATATTAAAAACCACTCTTAAAAAGACGATATTCCAACTTTATAGCTCGAAACCAGTGTTATCATGATGGATCTATTACTATTCTTCTATAAGAAGAGATATAACAACTAACTATTTTAGCTTTGAAATTATTTCCATAGTAAATCTATTACTATTCCTCTATAAGAAAATATGTCATTAAAACTAATTTATTGAAATTAATATCTAACTAAAAACCAATCTTAAAAAAAACGGTGCTATTATGATAAATATATTTTTAAAATCTATCCTACGCTTCTTTAAAATTCAAGATTATCATGATAAGTTCAAGACTCATTCAAGTCAAGAGTTCCACAGACCATTGCAAATAATTATTTCATGTTTGGCTGAAATCAAAGTACCATGAGTCAACCTAGTTTCCTAGGAACTTTCTATGAAATTTAATTGATTTTGAAAAGCCGAGACTCGCACTTCCGTTTCAAGTCTGAAAAATCCAGATACAGCCCATAGGAATTTTTGTAGAGTATCTAGTTTGTCATATATGGTGAAAATTATCAACTTTTCGTTAGCGAAGATAAAGATAAGCAAAGGAAGTAGTTACCTATTTACACCTAAAAAGTAAAATATGTAACTTCCTTAATTTTTTGTATCCCTTAAGATAAAAGTCAATTATATCCTCCATCTGCAGATTCCTTGGCACCGAAAGGCTGAGAGGACGAATTGCACCCGCCCGGCACACAGCACACAGCATGTTCAGTGGACATGGGCGGATTCCTGGATAAGCCGAAAACCGCCAAGCACAATGACCAGGGCGAGGGCAACAAGCTGCTCTTCGGGGTCAGCTCGATGCAGGGCTGGCGGTCGGAGATGGAGGACGCCTACTACGCTCGTGCCGGGCTGGGCGATGTCCTGCAGGACTGGAGCTTCTTCGCGGTCTTCGACGGGCATGCGGGTTGCAAGGTGTCGGAGCACTGTGCCAAGCATCTGCTGGACAGCATCGTCAGCACCGAGGAGTTCATTGGCGGCGACCACGTGAAGGGCATTCGCACCGGCTTCCTGCGCATCGACGAGGTGATGCGGGATCTGCCGGAATTCACCCAGGAGACGGAGAAATGCGGCGGCACCACCGCCGTCTGCGCTTTTGTCAGCCTCACGCAGGTGTATATCGCCAACTGTGGGGACTCCAGGGCCGTTCTATGCCGCCAGGGAGTTCCGGTGTTCGCCACGCAGGACCACAAGCCCATTCTGCCCGAGGAGAAGGAGCGCATCCACAATGCCGGCGGCAGTGTTATGATAAAGCGCGTCAACGGCACCCTGGCCGTGTCGCGAGCCCTCGGCGACTACGACTTCAAGAACGTCAAGGAGAAGGGGCAGTGCGAGCAGCTGGTGTCGCCGGAGCCGGAGATATTCTGCCAGAGCCGCCAGGACAGCGACGAGTTCCTGGTGCTCGCCTGCGACGGCATCTGGGACGTGATGACCAACGAGGACGTGTGCAGCTTCATCCACTCGCGCCTGCGGGTGACCAGCGACCTGGTGAGCATCGCCAACCAGGTGGTGGACACCTGCCTGCACAAGGTAAGTCGATCTATTACATTAAAACTTAAAAGATTCTAACACTCTGATCATTTTTCGACCACAGGGCAGTCGCGATAACATGAGCATCATCATCATCGCCTTCCCCGGAGCCCCGAAGCCCACCGAGGAGGCGATAGAAGCTGAGCATCGGCTGGAGAAGCAAATCGAGAAGATCACAAGAGGTTGTCTAAGTCGTCTACTCTGTTTATAACTAATCGTAAACTGTTGATCCATGGCGTAGTGGTCTCCTCCGACTCCGTGTGTCTTTATCGAACCAAAATACGTATACATTGTACCTTGAGCGCCGCGGGCACTTTTACCAAGGCCTTCTTGAGTTGTATTTGCCCCACTTTGTCCCAACTCGATTCCAACCAAATAGTTCCTTCCGAAATTAGTTCCGAAACAAAAGCAATACCAAAGCGAATACCAAACCATTGCCATTACTAATGCCAAGAAAGAACCCGCACACACCCACTGCCAGTACAGTGAAGGCTCTCAGGAATATCGTATTTCTTCATTTCATAATTTGTACAAAGGTTTATTTGCTCATTTTTCTAATATTTCTAAAATTTCTACATAATCTCTTTGAGATGTAACAAGGATATAGATAGAATACCCAGAATCATTAACTTTTTTTTAATTTGAATATATTTTACATAATTCGCCTCATTTATGCTCAGGTTAATATTATGAATCCTTCAGAGAACATTTAGTTATGTCCCTCAAGAGAGCTTTCACCGTATACCTGCTGTTTAGACATGTAAATGGGGGCGTGTGTGGGGGTACTACCAATATCCTATCGCTAATGCCCAGCAAATACCTATATAGCGTGTTACTTTGTCATATCTGGTGGCTGTGCGTGTGGCTGACCAGAGTTCCTCTGCCGAAAGTGTGTGTGTGCCTGAGTTATAGTATTATTTATACATGCCCGTGTGTACTACGGCCACTGCCAAAAGCCAAAAGCGTTCCATGTATGCGAGAGAATCCAGCCCATTTAGCTTTAGTCTAACATATACACCTAAATAATAACAATTATCGACGAACCTGCCCGAGCTAAGTAGTTAAATGACCCGTCAGCCAGTCTGTATATACATTTGCGTATACGTACTCCCCATTTGATACTAGCTACGATGCAAATCAATCAAACGAAATTGCAATATTCAACGTACGCAGGTATTGACACTCAAAACAAACACTTGGAATTGATGTAACTAGTAGGAATAGCGAATTAACACTTATTTACTAAGCAAAAACGTATGGGAGAATGTCTTCAAAGAAGATTCGCTGTAGATAGTCTGTAAATAAGAAGAAAAACCTTACAAGAAAGCAATGAAATCATATATTTTATTAACTAGCCATCGCTCAGACGAACTGTAGTCGCATTACATGGATTATGTATAGAAAGCAATAAACACCAGAGGGGAATTCCTCCGAGACTTCAGTATTCAAAACACCAAAGTGAATATCGGCCGATATTCAGACGTGACCTTGTTGATATAGACAAATACTTTAGCCCCGATTCGTACGATTTACAAATAGCGAATTAGTGAATAGAACTAGAGAGCATGCATTGCCCATAGTAGCTAAACCAATAACGATATTACCTAGTCTAAGCAATTAAATAACCATGGCAAATACTCAATGTCCAGACGAATTACTTAGCCTAGAGTAGACTAGCCAAAAAAGGGTTTTGAATGTTACGTATACGTACTATATACCTAGGTTAATTAAAACCGAATTGTAAACCTTATGCTCACCAACTGTTGTGCTTGTTGTTAACAAAGGCAAACGATTACTTTATGACCCGAAACGATCAAACATATTCCACACAATCTAAGCAATTCCCCGAAATATTGTATTGGTGATGCAGCCAAGAGTGTAAAACACACACTATCCACAGAACATCATACACGTTTTATAGTGATTAATGAATTAATGAATTACCACGGATGCAAGTCAAAAATATAACTTAACGAAAGATTCCAAAAAACCAAAGCAAAAGTGTTTGTCTGCTGTTCCATTGGATTCATTTGGTTTTCATTTGCTTCTCTTCATTTCCTTTTCACACTCTTAATTATTTTACTCATTCCAAAAAACGAACCCCTACATATCATTATTTAATTCTAATCTAATTTTCCTGATTTCTTAAGAGCCAGTTTCAACTAATGCGTAACGTTTATCTAAAGTAATTTGCCAAGAGGAAAATTCTAGCCATTCGCTGTCGTTACTCGCGCCTCGTACTACAAATCCCCAATTTCTAAATCCAAATCCAAATGTCAATGCAAGAACAAGAAACAGAAACAGAAAGCAATTCAAATTTAAGATGAGTGAGCATAAGGTACGTCTATAATTTTGTAGTTTGTAAATTTTCGAAAGCCACTTTGCCATTTCGTTATCGTTTATCTTATCGATTGATTGGTTTGATTTTGTTTTGCCCCGCCCCCGCCTCCAATGAGTTGCTATCTGTGTATTAATTGTAAAGAGTGATCCACGCAATCCGGCAGATAATCGAAATTGCATGCCCCCGTCAGCCACAATAGAAAAATTGAGCAACAAAATCACTTGAAATGTACTACGCAATTTGTTTAAACCTTCAATTTATTTCCATGATTTTTTGAAATTTTTAAAAGCTTTTCTGAATTTTATTTCCTTAAAATTAAGGTGTCCAAAATTATTACAAAATTTCAAAGTCTCACAAAATAGTAGAAAACTTTCTTATAGCTACTTTCTTCCCATCGACCTGCATCAAGTTTGTTATACTCCCTTAAAAATCGCTTGAGATGGCCTCACATTTCCCATTTAGTTGATATTTTATAACCCAGTTCATAAATCTGTATAATGCATTTGATTTAAAGTAGCTTAGCTATGTAATTCGTATTTCTTTATGAACCATTTATGTACATATATATTTATTTATAAACGTCTTTTAAGCTAAGATCATGGCCCTTAAAAAACCTGTAACTAACCCTTATTTCCTCTCTGATATTGTTGCAGACGAGATAGAGTCTAGCAATATAACCGACTACGTGGATCTGCTGAAGTGTCTGCAGAACAGAGACGACATCGAAGGTCTTCCTCCCGGAGGCGGCCTGCAGTCCAAGTGAGTGTGGTGGATCATGATTCCTAATCAACGATTGCTAATCAATTGTGTTTGCCTTTGCAGATATCACATTATCGAGCGCACATTCAAGCAAGAGTTTCCGGATCGACCATGTGATGTACGAAATATTTTCTATAACATATAACTCGGTTCGCTGCGCTTTCGCCAATGCTAACACACTTATATATTTATTTTATCGCTTGCATAGCACCGTTTTTGGTCATTCGATAGCCTTTGAAATTGCCTTGTTTTTTTCTGATTCAATCAGTAGATCGACACCAGAGGATTTGGTAATGATTGAGCTGTCGCAGTTGTTTCATTCGATCGTCACCATTAATCACTGTTAATCACGTCCCCTGCTTAGTCGACTTGTAACCTCTAATCATGGCCACCTATTCTCTTTCTTTTTTCTAGCTGTATGCATATGATGATATATGAATTTTGTAATGCTAACTGTTCATTTTTTAAACCAACCAACAACCAACCAACCAGCAAGAGAACAAAGATAACTAAACACCCTATGCTTCACATATACTCTAAATGTAAGGCGATAATTCAATATGTTGCTTGTCTCGGCCCTCCATCATCGATCTTCCTCCACATCCATTCTGTTTCGCCTTGTTTCGTTTCGTTTCTTCTCGAGAGTACTGCATGTTTCATCTCTTTCAAATCGCTTCTTGCCAAGCCTGCATCCTGCATGAAATCGGATCCCCATCATCATGGTCAATAATCGAGATATTTGTTATTCTTGCAGAGTCCAACGCATTAGGTTGCAGTCGAAACACTAAACAAAACCAGTTAAACAACAGAACCGAAACCAGAACAGAACAGAAAGCAGAGCCACACAACTTGAACGAAGCAAACAAACAAACAAACAAGAACACACACCAAACAGTTTTCTACTTTGATAAACACAAAAGAAAAGAACCTACTAATAATGATAATAATAAGAATAACGATACATTTATAGTTTATACGAAGCAGTCCTAAACACAACAATACGAACAGCCGCGCCCTTAAATAACTCGAAGAAGGTATAGGAGAGATCTAGAACAGAGCGTACCTGAGCAGACCTCAGAGAAGCCGAGGAGGATCGTGGAGAGCCAATATCAGGACTTATCCGATCAGATCCCTCTGCAGGACCCATCCATCTATGTGAATGTTAACCCTCTGTGTGCCCTATCGTTCCGTCACTCCTCATCAATCAGCAATCACCAGTACAACAGCCAGAAAAGAAAACGAAGTGGAAAATGTAATTAAAAACGCGAGAACTTTTTATTTTTGTCAAAGAAAGAAACCATGTATTAACCATTGATTCCGAAACGAATGCGGACTTTTGTAAGTTGTAAAATGTTTGTTACCGAAAAAACACATTTTGTTCACCTTTTTTTTGTATGTATATGAGAAGATGTGTCGTCGACAAGCCTGAAGCGAAACTTAATAATGTAAAGTAAAAAATGTTAAAAGAAAAGCAGAAAAAAATGGTAAAAGAAAACCAAACTAGCAAACAAACCTGTAACTATCTATGTACGGAAACGAGTAACGAGAGAAAAGTAATACCTAAAACCTAAAGTAAGCGAAGCAAAACAAAAGCAAATCCACAATAATGTCCGATCTTAAAGAAACGAGAATGAAACTAAGAACTATTAATTTATAAGAAGCAAGTTGATGATGAAAATCTTAAGAGAGAAAAGCAAAATTACGCTCGAGTTTGTAGTAAATGTTGAAAAAAAAACCAAGCCAAACTTTTAATCAGTCAATCGAACCATCGTTCAGCTGAACGGTGTACCAGTCGTATCATCTCCAGAAACGACAGGTATTATCCTTCGAAGCGGTCAGGATGGCATCTCCCGTGTAACTGTAGGCACAGCTGAATACTTCTCCCTCGTGACCGGCGAGCACCTGGGAGCATTGTCCTGATTCTGTGAGCCACAGTCGGGCTGTGTTATCCGCCGAAGCTGTGAGCAGCATGCAACCGCTGGGACTAAAGCACACCTTGGACACCTCATCCGCATGTCCTGCCATTAGGGACAGCATCTCCAGCTCCGACGATCCCTCCATTTTCCACACCCTCGCCGTGCAATCGCTGCTGCAGGTGGCCAACAGCCTGCCCGCCGCATCGAAGCTTACATCAAGAACCTCGTCACTGTGCTTGGCAGCCAAATAGAGTTCCTGATCCATCCTCCGAATGTCCCATATCCTGGCTGTGGCATCCAGAGAGCCAGTGGCAATCAGGGATCCACTAAAGTTCCACACGCAGTTGGACAACTCGGCGCTGTGGCCACGCAATTGATGGCAGAGACTGTAAAGGATGTTTCTTAAGAAGATCTTATTGTTAACCAAACGATCCAACCCACCTCTTGCTCCGCACATCCCAAATAGCTGCCGTACGATCGAAGGAGCCCGTGAGCAGCAGCTGACCATCGCGATTGAAGCGAGCCGCAATCACCTCGGCTCCGTGCTGCGTCAGTTGCTGGAGTTCATGGGACGTTTCCACATCGTAGATCCGTGCCGTGCCATCCATGGAGGCTGTGGCTATGGTACTTCCATGCATTGGATCAAATTCAGCGGCCACCAGCTCGGCAGTGTGTCCATAGAAAGTGCACAAGCACTGGCCACTGCCGGCGGACCAAACCTTGGCGGTTCCATCGAAGGATCCAGTTACTATTTTGTCGCTAAAACATATTCAAGTGTGAGAATCATATATTCTACTACTAGAACTCTTTTTAAACCCACCAATGCGGAAGATTGAAGCCCACGGAGAAGACCACATTGTCGTGGCCGTTGAGGATGTGCTCCACCTCTGCCGTTTGGGTGTTGATCACATGGCAGGTGCGATCGTAACTACCAGTAAGGCACCGCTCGCCACTGCGATCGAAGGACACGTTGGTCAGCGGCAGGATGTGCGAGTTGTGGCACTTGTGCAGATAGAACTTCTTTTTCACCGGCTCACGCAGCTTCTTCTGAAGTTTCTCCAGAGCCTGTTTCAAAGCGCTAAAGGTGTTCTGAGATCTGGCTACAGTTCCGCTGACAGGACGAGGTGCAGAAGCCTTCTCGGAATCCACATGCGATTTATCCTCTTCCGCTTCAGCTAGGGTTTGAAGTAGAATCCTGTCGGCCAGAGGTTCTATGTTTGTTCTAAAGAATAGATTAATATTTACAAATTAATTAGAAAAATTCCCTAAGAACTTCCCTCCACTTACTTTGAATCTAGGTCAAGCAGATCGAAGTGACGCAGCCGTTCATTGCCCTTCGCAGTTCGATAGTTTATGGCCAGTCCTAGGATAACCCAAGAAAAATTGTTAGCTTTTAAAAAACTTAATGGTTCTATGACCTTGCCCACCTGGCGGATAGTAGCGCAGAAAGATTTTGTTGGCACTCATTGCGAGGTTGTTGTGACTCTGGCAACTGAACTTAGAAATTCCTGCACTGACAGTTTGCTGACCTGCTTTAATTCAGCCCTTGTTGATTCGACTGGCTGCCATGCCAAAGGCCTCGTTTGATCGATTCACCTTGGGTTCCTTGCACTGGGGTCTATGTCGAGGTCTCGAGGGTGAGCGGTTCAAGGATGTAGGGTAATGTATTCAGATTGTATGCAGGAATTTGTCTTTATTTTCTAGGCATTCAAATTTCTATCAAAGCTTTTCTAACCAAGATAAAGCTTTTGGTGGCCAGGTTTTCGACTTAGCCATTCGTGAAACCACCTTAATTACATAGAGTTTTAGTACTCATGTAGATTCAAATTATTTTCTGGCAATATTATTTAGATTGAAAAATAAATGTATGCTTTTTATAACTACCATTTTATTTTTGGTGGGAATATAATTTAAAAAAATATTTTTTAAATTCCAAATTACATAGAGTTTTAGTACTAGCACTTACCCAGCATTTATCTAGCATTTACCTTTCAACAAATATTTTTTAGATTTAAAATTAAAAGAAATATATTATGGGTTTGATAAATATTATTCCTTGTAGTCAATCCTTAAGAACTTTTTTATTAAATTCTATTCTGAATGGTTCCAATAACTTCTTGCTTTATTTCTAATTTTATTTTTAATATTTAAAATAGATTTAATTTGTGTGTGGTATTGCTCATTTGCTTTAATAGTAAACGAATTAGCTTATTGATTTTTGGTCTTTCCCTTTCTTTATAGGACAGGTCAATTTAAATAACGAAAAGCACATGACTAATTAACTTTTCCTGTCTCGAACTGCCGACAGCAACTACGCTGTGAACCCTCTGCGGAGTAACCCTTGACCTACGATTGTCCTTTGGGAAACCCCTTTGGCATTTGACAGGCACCAGGAGCCAGCAGCTAAATGGTCTCTGGCCATTAAACCTAATTAGCTTGTTTAAGATGGGAAAAGGAAGCCCCGGGACCCCAGAGGCCAATTGGCTGCCTGGTCGACACCTGGTCGCATTTTTAGCAGATTTAACATATGTCCCACGTGGGCAGACACAAACCCCGACCGCACCTACAATTAGATTGCTTCACCTGGCTCCTTCGCCTTCACCAACGTCTCGTTTCGGCATTTTCACTAATTTAATTTGTTCAGTAATCGCTGCTTGGGGTTTGGGTTTTGGGTGGGGAAGTGAACGACAGTCGTTGAGAATCGAGTCAGACACCCGAGGAACGCCCATTAGCCAGCCGAAAAAAAGAAGGCAACCGGGGGGATTTTCGGGGGAAGACCATAGCCAATAATGATAAGTAATGATTAGATATTATCGCACCCAATTTCGGTGCACAGCAGCGGCAGAACTGAAAGCGACAGGCGGACGTTGAACAAAGAAAAACTAAATGGACAGGGAAAAAGGTGAGGAAATCTTGGGGGTACTGAGAAAAAATATGAGACTTGGCCACTTTATTACATTAATAACATACAAAATAAATCGTAGATATTAAAAACATTAAAGATCAATTCGGAAGATGATTAGGTTTTTTACTTTAAGTTGAATCTTTTATAAAATATTTTTTGTTAGTGATTTACTAAATATTGTATTTCTGGATATAGGCAAACAACAAACTTTAATTTCAATTTATGTTATTAAATATTTTACAAAATATTATATTTCTGTGCTTGGAAAAACAATTTTATTTAATTTCATTTATTTTATTATATTTTCCTACTTGAAAAGAATCATGGTCTTAAACTCTTAGGAATTTTAGGATATATTTAGGATAATATTATTTTCCTTAGTGTCTTGGAAAATTGCGCAGAAAACTTGTGTGGGTGGGAAAAGTGCGATAAGATGGCGAGAGTCTGTGTCTTTGTCAATAATAAAACATTTCATTGAATGTCCATTGAATGCCGAGCATGGGGAAAATGACAACACTGCGAAGATGGAAATGAAAATGGAGACACACGGGGCTTTGGATCGTTTCAAGTGGGCAGGAGGCACCTGGGAGGTCATCATCCCCACGCCAATCACCACCCCCACCCCCCGATGAACAAAAGCAACAGCTGTGTCCCCGGAATTTTCATCTCTTCATTTGTACGCCCCATGTAATTGGGAGACCCACAGGACTTGTGGCAAAACGGAAGCTTTAAGGAAATCAGAGACGAATAAATGAGAGTACGAATGGAAATAAAATCAATTTAAAAGCCCATAAAACGCTTTCATAAACAAAGCAACAGTCGGGGGCAGGCGAAGAGCAACGGTCGGTAGGATTTGAATTTATGCTCAATAAATTTTTGTTGATTTCCGGCAGGCGGTTTTGGATTCACTCGAAATCTCTGTGTGTCTGCTACCCATGAAAATGCGGCGTTGCATAAATTATAGGCACACACATATGAGCCTTACCTTTCACCAAAAAAGGACGAAGAACAGAATAAAACTGATTATTGCCGCATTTTATAGCTGCACAGAAAAAAAAGATATAAAATATGCTATTATTTACCTAATTTCATATTAATAAACAGCCGATATGATTATTGTCAAATTTACGATCTAAACATATCAACTTAATATTTTTTCATATCAGTTATTTCATAAAATTATAGAATCACTATTTTAAATTACCAAATTTAGTATTTTTTGAACAAGTAATATATTAAAAGATAAACATAATCTTTATTTATATCAAAGTCAAGTGAATAACTTGGTCCTTAAAAATATAAAATTGACCTGCACATATCAATCTGATCTTTTGTCAATTATTTTTCTGTGCGCATTTTATGGCTGTTGGTTTGAAAGTCGGGAACCGGGTTCCTCGTTAACCATTTTTGGGCCAAAATACTGCTTGAGTGGCACAAACTCAGGGAGAAAGCGACCACATTTTCTAAGCCGATAGACCAGTCGAATTAGAGGGATGAGCTGCTGCTCCTGCTGCCCCACTTTGAGCAATATCTAAACAGATTTTCGGTTTGTGTTTGACTAAGCGACATAAAATTCGATTTTTGTTTTCCTTTCCGCTTGTCCTGCCCGCGGTTGTTTTTGGGAACTTGTTTTTGGACTTTTTTTTGTATGTTTTTCATTGACGTGTGTGGCCGGTTTTCAGGTTTTTAGCTAAAAGGAGTCGTTAGTGGCTCTCTAATTGGAGAGGGAGAATGGGAGACTGGCTGGCTGGCAGGACATCAAACGGTTGGTAATCGAATTGCCGTGCCAAGCGGCACTAAAATCATTTTCACAGATTTCCGAGCGAGAGCAACGTCCACTGTGCGGTAGTTAAATGGATGGATGGTATTGAATTTTATGCATATTTGTTTACTTCGCTCTTTATTTTCGGTTTTGGTTACTTTGATCAGTAAAAACAAATAGCAAAGGCACTTTGTTTTGTTAGGAGATTTTTAAAGGATTTTATATGATACTCTATTTGCAAGATCATATATTTTTTCAAAAATACTTTATTTGCTATTTTAAAGCAGTATTTATATAACTTATACGAAATAATAAAATGTCAAGTTGATATGTTTGAATCATAAATTTGACTTTAATCATATCGGCTTTTTATTATTTAAATGAAATAAGGTAGAAAGGATCCTATTTCATATAAATAGAATAAATATATCCTGCAATAACACTAATTTCCAAAGCAATCCTCAGCTTTAATAAATATCTAAAATTCTGAAAACTAAATTTCCCTTTTGCTTAGACACCATTTTTGAGTCAATAAACAACCTACAAACCTGAGCCTGTGCGAATCCCCATTTATGACGCATTCTGCGGCCTGCCCATTGAAAAGTTTATGACTTTGATAAATTAAATTGTGCCTGGCCTAAAACACACAACCAGAAGCGAGCTATCCCTTCGGTTTGAATATATCAAAATCTGAGTTTTAGCCGGCAGCCAGGCAACCGGCCAAAGTTTATGGCCAAATTGTGTGCAGGCTGGAAGCCTTAAACCGTTTATGCCCAATTGAAATGCAGACGCATCGAAATGTTATAAAATTTAATAATGGCCTCCTGTGCAGGTTGGCCGTGTGTGCTCATGTTTTGAAGTTTTATTGTGGGCTTTATTATAAAGAAAAAAAAAGTTCGGCAGGCAGTTTGTGCGGTTTAGCGGCCGCATCAAGTATACGCACCATAAATCAGGGTCAGCGACGGCAGAAGCTCCCTTTTTTCGGCCCAACGACGTATTAAAGGCATTAAACTCGCTCTTAAATCGCCAACATGGCCGTTCGTCATAACGGTAAGTGGTGCTTAAAATGAATTATGCATTGCCCTCTCGGTTGATATTATATTAAATCATATATACGGGTAGTCAGTCCTCTTCCACGTGCGCAAAAAACAAACGTATGTGCTTTCAAGGAGGCCCACATTCGGTGGCCGAGATTTTCCTGCCATTAACTGCTACCAATTCAACTGATTTTACCGATTCCACTGGTCCCACTGGCTGAAAGATGAATGGCATGTTAATTTGTGCGCATTATATTGGCCATTTATCTCCTCACTGATTTCTGCGGGGCTTCGCCTTTGCCATCAACTCGCTTTTGCCTCAACTGCGAATGCCATCGATTGGCTGCACTTGACACCGAATGACAAAGTAGTAAACAATTAATTATGCAAATGGTCGGACGTTCAATAAGCCATGTCTTAGCTCCGGGCATTCAACAAGTATCTCAGGGATGCACAGGGAAAATATGTATATAACAAATTAATAAAATATTTATTTATGGTGCGTGCCACAGAAATAACTGGGTTTTGGAAATCACTTAAATGTCAAAATATGTGTTCAAAAGAATGCAGTGAATAAAAAATAATCGTCTTCCTGTATGAATTCAAATCATTATTGGGTTAAAAATATATTGTTGCATCCTTTTAGTCACCATATATTTAATTTTAAAATACTGAATATTGCTGAAAAAAATTTAAAGTAGTCTACTAATATAATTACTATCCCCAATTTTATTTTCTTATTTATCTTTCTCTTTCAGGGCAGTGGCATTTCATATTTTATTCCTTTCTAGTGAACAATAATCAATTCTATCAAATTCACTGGGCCCAAAGGTGAGCACTTTTAATTATACGTTTGTTTTGCCATTCACTATTATGTATTCAAAATGTTATCGTTGTAAATTATAAAATGGAATCCATTAATGCAGCTAGAGGTATGTAAATGCATATAGTCTGTAGTTGCAGCCACACACAGCGGAATGGTGGCTATGCAAAATTCATTTTTCCCAAATAGTTTGCAATGGGAAATGTGCGTTAAATTTATGCAAACAAGCGACGTTGGCCAAAATGGCTGCTCTTTCGGTTGTGGGTTGCCGCTTGGTTGGCTGATTCCATGTGTGGAAATGACTTTTGAAGCTGCTTATTGAAGTTGTTTAAGTTCATGCATAGTGCATATTCGAAGGGAACTCCACTAAGAACTCAAAAAAGTTTAAGTTTAATCATAACCATAAAAAAACATTTTAAAAGAGGACAAATTATTTAAAAGTTATGAGCAAATAAAGCATCTTCCGATAGATGGCGCCTTTTTGCTCCTTTCATATCTCTATCTCTCTCACACTCATTCAGGTGAGTAACGAGTATTTGATAGTCGAGCTAGTATTTATAAATACTACATCATCAACGTTTAATCAATTTTACAATATTTCTATAATTGTGCCACTGCTCAAAATTCATGAATATATTTGCGAAACCATTGGCGCAATTAATGTAGTGTAGCCACTTCCCTATATATATTCGGGTTAAATTATTATTACTCAAGAAAATGAAACACTTTTGGCCCTCAAAGTTCACAAATATGAATTTAATTAACATCAATTGGCAACATATTTTCAATTTGCACCTGTGCAACGGCAACAACAAACAAAAGTGAAACATAACCGAAAGGAAATGGTCGAGTTAATTGCATATTGCGTATACGCCACGTTGCCTCTACGAGGGCCACGAGTGGCAAATGCCAAACGTTTTTGTTATTCCGTTTACCAGTTGTTTGGCACGAGTTTGTGATTTCACTTTATTTTTTTTGTGTTTTGTTCGGTTTGTTCTGTTTTGCCATACTTGTGCTTATGGGTAAAGTTTTGCTGGGTTTCTGGGTTCTTTCTGGCTGGCAAAGTTCCTCCATATTGGGATTTTTGCGATTCTGCTGGGCGGTGGATTCAATGAAATCCGTTGGACCGCAATGACCACAACTTTCGCCAGCAATCTCGATCTGATGTGACTTCACTTTGCCCAGGCTGCAATGCAGTGCAACTCAATCAAAATTTATTACACATACGCGCCGTTGTACAAAAGGCCGAGGTAGAATAGCAGGGGAGAAGCCCTATCATCGGGCTTAAGGAGTTTGCTGTAGTTCTGGACGAGCTGCTGTTCATTTTCAATTCGTTTAATGGGTCACTTGGGCGTGCGGCCCGAAACTTTTCACGAGCTGGCAAACAAGCCATAAAAGTAAATAGCCAGTTCATGTTTTTGCACAGAAACTAAATGCTAGGCTTCATAATCTCACAAATCGGGTCAAAAATCGAGGATATCTAGCCCTTTCAGTAAGCTTGATTTTAACTTGTTACCAAATTGTTTATGTGGAAATAAGAAATGTTACTAAGAAGTAAAAGTAAATCACAAATCAATAGTGTTTTGAAATTACATTACTTTTTGTGTCTAAAAGTATGCAACAATTTATTTTAAACCCAAACTTATTCACTGCCTACTTTTAAACACCTATTTTTATTCTATTTCAAATAGTTTTTTTTTTTAGATCAAAACATTAAGAATGTTTGGTTAAACGTAGTTCTAATATTCACTGACATATTCCAATTTACAACTATTTTTTCCTGTGCATAAAAGGGCACAAAAGTGGGTGGTTCTTGGTTTCCTGGTTGGTCCTTTGGCAACCACAAAAGCGCACGCAACCGCACACCTGCAACATTTGTGTGTGCGGTCTGCAAAACGACCACTCCCCCTTCATATGGCGAAATCTCCATCGCCCATCGTCACAGGGCACCTTAAATATAATCGCGGGAAATTTAGACATTGTTGGCATTCGTGCAAAATGATATTTGAGAAAGATAATCGCCCTAATCCAATGATACGGCACACACACGCCCACTCAACCAACCAGATTGGCAGAGGGGTTCAAAGGACATGGAGGAAGATGGCGGCGGAGTAAGTCATTCAACCGCTCGTTCCTTGGGCACAAAGTTCCTCTCACGTCGCCTATTAAGCTCACTTTCAAGTCAGCCCCGGGCGTTTGTAAAATAAGCTTAGCTGCCTGACTTTCCCTTGCCTGTATGTGTTAGCCAGAATGTCCTTTTCCTTGTGCGTGTGTGTGTTTGCTTAGCACCCGCACGTTTGCCTTTTATATTTTTCGAGGCACATGCAACACCTCAGCACGCAGATCCCGCCGCAAGTCATTCAGTTCGTTCACCCAACTAAGTTCAAATTTTATGCAGGTTTTCTTATCTAAAATCACAAGCCAAAAAGGTTGCTAATTTTATTAAGTACCTCAAATATTGTACTAATCCTGAAGCCATTCTAGGTGTGGTCAAGTTTTAGGCAATAATATCCCATTCGGCAAAGGTCAAAATTTTAGTTTAATATTAACACATTTTGGTTTTCTAGATACCTTAAAATACTTTAATAAACCATGTTATTTTTAAATAAGCTTCTCAACGAAAATCTTGACATAAATCCCTATCTGCTATTAATTCGACTTACTTAATGTATTCGAGAAAATCCAATCATATCGTTGGCACAATTTGTCTGCCTGTTCGGTTTTTATTCAACTCTTATAAATGATTTTCATTCGCATTGCAATTTAGATAAAATCGCTTTCAGCACAAGCACATTTCCCCAAACAGCAGTTGCAAAAAAATATATAAATTTCTGACAATCTGTTAGGGGGCGTTTTTCTCGGCGACTGAAATCGCTTTGTCACGTTTTAATCGCTTTCCAGATTAAAATAAACTCAAAAGTGCAACAAGGATGTGAGTGCGAAAAGCTCCAGAAATTGGAAATGTATATATTGCATGGGGATTACAATATTCGGCGATAAGTAGGGTATTTTGAGACTTTTTAACCACCCATGGGCAGGTTTTACTGGCATGAGTTGTTTTTTGGTTTTATCTTTTTCGGGAATTTATTGCTTACCATCAAGCAGGTGGCGTTGGTGGTGAGCGCCACGGGGAGCAACTCGTTCGTGTTGGCACGTTAATTGAAATTCGTGGATCCCAGGTGGGGCATATTCATCCATCGACAAGGCGAACAGCGGGCCTGGGACAGGAACCACAATTTATGCGGGCACTGATAAAAAATACAATATTAAAATCACACAAATCACTAGTGTTTTGAAATCACTTTAAATCGTCACTTCAGGTGTCTCAATGTATGCAACATTATATTTTAAACTCTGAAATACAATTATAAATTATTCAAAGCCTACTTTTAGACACGATTGAGTAAGGGCCGTTTTCTCGTCCATTTGTTATATTTACGATTTCTAGGTTTTAACCCTACTTAAAATATAACAAACGGACGAGAAAACGGCCCTAAGAGTCCTTGTCAAATCTGAATTCTATTAATACTAACTTATAAATATTTTAAAAAATCATCGCTGCTAATCAAATTTCAGGTGTTTCCTTGTTAAAAATCATTTTATTTATATATAAATATAAATATAATAAAAAAAATATCTAAAAAAAATATTTTTAGATTTAAATATTTAATGTAAGGATTTAAATTGAATGCCAAAATTTCCTTAAGTGTACATACTGAGTGCCCCGTGTGTGTGCATGTCCTGTCTGCCGTTGTGCGTTGCATGTTGCATGTTGCTCCTTGCGCATTGCTCGTTGCCTGTTGCCCATTTGGCCGCCCCTTCCCTTTCCCCTTTCCCATCCCCTTTCACTTCAGCCCCCTTGCAACGTGTTGAATTACATAATTTAAAGTTCGCTCTGCAGCTGCATAATCCCGGTGGCTGCTGGCTGCTCCACAAGTGTCACACACATGGCGCCTGGTCGTGGTCCTTTTATTAGATCAGTGGCCCACCGGCAGGATAAAGTTTACCCGACACGAACAACTTTTCTCGGGCATCGGGCAACGGGCACCGCCTGGCCAAAACCAAAGCCAAAGTTGAAAATTAAATTCCTTGCGTAAACACACTTTACTCTCCCATGGAAAACAGAGGGCGGAGGCTAAGGCTCTAACCCTTGCATCGATATCCCCTCCGTATACGTAATATGCAAATGTAATCAGTGCCCACATTTTATGTTCCTGCCTGTATGGACGTGAGTGTGTGCTCCACTTTTATGTGCGCCTGCCAGCGCAACTTTGTGCCCAAGAATTACTTGATCCGTGGCCAAGTCAGCTTTTATTTTAGGACTATTACTGAAAGTAGCAGCCGATGGTCTTATGTTGGTCAATTAAATAGTAGTTTTTAGAGGATTTTTTCATAAAAAAATATTATTCTTACTTAAAACCTTGATCCCGAATTTCCACCCAAGAAAATATCTGCATATTCGCGGAAACGAAGGATCAAACAATCAAAACGGTTCGCATTTTAAATATAAGATCATTTTTGGCTAATTTACAGGCAAAGCAACCCTAAGATAAATACATATTTTTATAAAAAAACGAGTTCCTGATTTTTAGCTTCAACAACTAAATTCAAGATTCTTGAAACTATTTTTTAAATGCAATATTCTCTAGAATGGGGACAGGAAATCAGTCACAGGCCCTCCCTATTTTGTACTTCCATTTTTCCATTTGACATGTAAAATGAATTTTCCGCTGCCGACAAACACACATGTCCATATCCTTACGGATATTTTTCCGCCTGCTCCAAATGAAAAACATCCGCATATGGAACTAGTTTGGCATCTGAACAACAATGGCATAAAAAATGCGGAAAATATCCCCCAGCTGGGCATTTTTGTCTAAGCTCGGCTGGCATTGTTTCCATTCGGGGGCCATCCTCCAGATTTATTTCGATTCTATTCTCCACTCGCGGCTGTCAATTTTAATCAATTCAACACGAAGCGTCCATCCACTAGAATAATTTCAAAGGAGAAACTAGTACTAGAAATGTGGGTTTCTACCCACTTCTTGTACATTGTATTTTCCTAGGATTAATTTTTAAAAATTTACGACTCCTTAAATTTTAAAAATGTATCCAAAGCCGTTCGGAAACCTTGTAAGCCAACATTTCTTTTAACCTGTGCCGTAAACTTTTGCCAATTCCCACTTTTTGTAAGGGTTTTTTTTATAGCCATAATGGAAAAACTTTGCTTGAATACGGATTTCATGCTCTCATCTCGAACTGCAAAAAAATCCTATATATAGAGGTGTGTGCATTTGTCGCCTTTACAGTAATTGAATGCTTGGATTTAATTGGAACTGCACGCCCTGTTGATTTCACACACAAACTGAATGCATACACATTATTGACAGGGCGCCGAGTTGATTCGAGTTGAGTTGAGCCGCGCTCAGGTGCTTGACACCTACCACTACACACGGCCACACTGAGCGAAACAGGGGGTGGCTAAACTTGATTTTAGATTGGGAACTATAAGTCAAAATGATGAAGATTCGAAATAAAACAAAATAAAACGCAATAGTCAAATACTTTGACTATCAGATACCCTTTACTCAGCTAAAGGAAGTGCGAGGAAGATCGACACATGCAGTCGTCAAAGCTACAGGCTCCACCTAGCGGTCATTTCATTTCTTAGTCATAACTTTTTAATGGATTGTCCGATTTTAAAATGTTCTTCTACACAAAAAATGGCATTTACACTTTTACAAAAACTGTTAAGATGTAAGCGCCAAAGCAAATGAAAATGTTGGTTACTATTTTATTTTATTAAAATATTTTTAAAACACAAAAAGAAAGAAATATAGTCTCAGATTCCATACATTAATTTTTATTATTTTAATAAGCTCTCTGGTAAACAAATGACATTCAATGATTCTGAGAAAAATGTTAGTTTTAAGAACTTTTATCAATTTATTGAAATATTCCCAACTCGATTCTCAGTGCTGCGAGTCGCCTGCTCTGGGCCATCGAATCCGGTGCAAACCGAACGTTGACTTATTCATATTGTGATGACTTGGCTCTCACATTTTTTTTTTTCGGCAGCTTACAATTCTTGCCAATAAAATATAAATGGAAAAACCGGAGGGCACACCTACCTACACACACCTGCCGGCGGTTGAACTGAGACCCAGACTCCCCGCCCTAATTGCC